TTTGAGAGTCACTTAAAGTTCCGGAAAGGCCTTTTTGAAAAAGCTGGTCATGTGCTGCTCCTTTGAGCGAGGTTTGATGGTACGTCTGAATCGAAGACAAACCGATCTGGGAACGGCGGCTGTGCACTTTTCTAACCTTAAAACTTTTGAGACTGGGTGAAATGAGCTGTTTTCGAAGGATGAAATCACTCGGCGTTTTGGTGTACACATCGACGTATCCCAGCAGAACAGGCGTATCTGTGGAGCGACCGCAAGAAAAGGCGGATCTGTGGGAGGCCCAAGAAGAGGGGCGGATCTGTTTTTGATACCGCAAAAAAAGGAGGATCCAACTTTTTGGTCGATTTTGAGATTTTTGTTTAAAAATACGTTCCAGAAAGTAAGGATTATTTTGATACAGTACTCAAAAAATCGACCAAAAACTTTGATCCGCCCTTTTTTGTGGTATCAAAAACAGATCCGCCCTTCTTGGGCCTCCTACAGATCCGCCTTTTCTTGCGGTCGCTCCACAGATACGGATGTATTTTTAGACTGTCTTATGATAGTCTAACAAACAAATGAATATGCGGGTGGTCCTTTTCGTAAGTTTTAGTTAGATACGTGAATACTGTACCATACTTGAAATGAACTCCACTGTGCGCAGTTCTAGGAGCCTCAGGTTTTTTGTCTAACGAAAACATAAATGAAATTAACTTCTTACTGAAACGAGTACACGATAGTGATGGGTACCAATGACAAGTAGCCCTGGAGTATTTCTGGGTGTCAAAAAAAGGCAATTGTGATTGGCGCTCGGGATTTGCAGAGTACACACAGGTTATTCCATGCCACTGCAGCTCACCTAAAATCTGAGCCAAACAATGTCTGAGAAAAGTGTTCGCGGAACCAATGCTGCGTTGCGTCGTATCATTCTGCGAAGAAGACTCCAAGTCGAAGTGACGCAAGGCGTTGTATCGAAGTGTTTCTGCTCCAACTGGCCTTCGACACGGCCCACACTGTTCAAAGGTGTCCAATAAGGATCTTAGTTGAGCAAAGTTCAGTTTCACACTTTGTTTTCGAAGCTGCTGATGTTGAAAAATAAACCCATTCCGGCCCTGGACCCAAGCTCCAATCCCGTTGGTCTGGTTTAAACCCTAACTTCTATTGAGAGAAAGGTTGACGAAATTGCAGAACATTAAAGGAGATGATCGGTCCCTTCCTTGAAGTACTCTCCGAGATAATTTGGAAGTAACAAAGTTTATTCCTACCCGGAGCTCTATCTCTCACTGTTGAGGACGGTCGATTAAACCGGTTCTTCGAAGTATAAACGACTATAACAGTGAGTCATTGATATTGCAAACAAGTACCCGAGGGAAATAATTGGGTGCAGGTTGGCTACCTCGGGTGGCTGACAGCGCTCGGATGGAACTCTGATGTCTGCTGACATTGGCTGTATACGGACAAACGTCAGGCAATATCCAGCCAGCCTAGCCTTTCTGGCTGCACCTGCCAGCCACTATAATGTCCCTTTGGAGTCCGGTCAGCGCTGTCCCCAGCAGCCATGAGGCCGCGAGGCGCTGTAGCCCGCAGCCTTCAAGATGCCCCAGGCAGCTTTCCTTCGCCGCGCTACGCTGCCCCCGGCTTCTATGACGCTTCGGCTCACAGCCACATCTCGGCCGCATCCTGCAGCTTGGCAGCCTCCACATTTCCCCACCAGGCTTGACTGATGGTTTGCATCGAAACGTACATTTGCGGGCCCCGAATTCCGTGGAAATAAAGTTAGTCCAAACTACATTTTTTTGGCAAATATTTGTTCAAGTCCACCTAGAAAAGAAATCCTTAAGTCTGCAACGCACAATTGATCCAGGAAGCGGAAGAAGGGGATAACTCAATTTTGGCCATTTTTCAGGAGAAACAAAAAACTGTTAGCAGGGAAAAGTAAAACAAAACAAATGAATGTTGCAAATGTTATTAATTTCAAAAAGCATTAGTAAAATTTTGGAAAAAAAAAATCAAAAGTGTAAGGTCACTCCGTAGAGGATTTCTGCGACTTATCACTTTCCGAAAACAGAGTCAGCTCACCTTATATTTCCTAAACAAAGAGGAATTTGGAGACAAGTCAAGTGGAACAATAGTCTGCATAAAGTGTATGTTACTCTGGTGTATTTTTTGGACTTAGCTCTTTTTTCCAAATCGAAATTTAAAATTAAGGGGGGGTTAAGTTGAGTTGATTCTTTTTACACTAGATTCATAAAAACACAAGTTGAGTTATATCCTTTTGGCAATTTGTCAAACGGACTCATGTAGACTAAGGTTGAGTTATCTCCATTTTCCAATGAAATTTAGACTGTAAAAGGGGTTAAGTTGAGTTATACCCTTTTTCCATGTGGATTTTCTCCTAAACTGCTTGGAATTCAGTCAAATAATTTGGTGTAATGATGTAAACCATTCTAAGGCACAATAATAAAATAAAAACTCAATTTGGTGATAAGTCAAGTTATTCCCTTCTTCCGCTTCCTGGATCAATTTTGACTTTCAATGCAAAATTCCAATGTATTTTATGAGGGAATTCGCAGAAAATTGACGAAGTGCTGCGGAGTTTAGAATCGCGACTTTGACGATACGTAATATCGGTCGCTTATATGCCGAAAATATTACTTTTTAATTATTTTCCGTGATATAGGCACAACCGAACTTTTCCTAGGGAATAGCACTACTCATCAAAACTGTCTACTAAGTACACACTTACAAATGCATGCTTGCAAGTACACACTTAATGCATGCTTGACACGTACACACAAACGCCTTGGCTTAGCATGGAGTTACACGGCGTCAAGAATGCGTTTGTAAGTGTGTACTAAGTAGACAAGTTTGTAGTGTAAACTCATTTTAAGTGATTATGGTTCCAATAATTTTTTATTAACTGCGTGTTAAAAGCTTTTTGGGACGACTACACTGCAAATGCAAGGGCGATACTTAAAGTACATTTACTGGCGATACCCGCCAACAAACGGCCTTACCGAAAAATCTTGCCTTCAGAACGGCGATACACCGAAGCATCGCCAAAATTTGGTGATACTTTCGGGTATCGCCAAAATCACGGCATTAAACTAAGAACTTGTCCCCTTGATTTGTTCAAAGTTTATTGCCAAATCGTGGCAATACTCTAAAGTTTTGCAAAATTTTGACGATACACTGTTAGAAATTAGCTCCGAAACTTGAACAGATGTTCTTCGGGGCATTTCTTGGGTCCTGATGGGAGGTAAAATGCATGTCTTTTCTCAGGGCTTCGCTGTCTGGACCGAAGATGGGAAAACTATAATCAACGCCCTTTTGCGAACCTTATTGTCTGTGTATGATCTAACAGCCCAGAGAGACTAATCGGCCAAATCTGCATTTCACTCCTTGCACTGGGGTCAACTTGTCAATGTTTGACATATTTTGTCAAAAGCCCTATTATGTAGTTTCCTGTTTCTCAAATACAAATTGTGATGTAATGCGCCTTTTGTACCTTTCCGCGCGTGCCGTGAGGCCTCTAACCCTGCCGCGGGTTTGACGCTAGGAACCCCCGTCGCTGAATGGCAGCACCAACTAGCTGTACAGGGCAGACTGTTCCAAGTTACCCCCGGTGTCCCAAGTTACCCCCGTTGACGGTACACTAAATTCCTGATAAAAAATTTGCCAGAAATTTGTGTACTTTTGTTGTGGTTATTTCCTGCAGTGCACCTACAAAGTTTCGTCAAAATCCGAGACATAAAACAATTCCACATAACCTTATACGGGTGATTCCGTGCGTAGGGGGTCATTTCAGGTCACCGGGGCCTTGCGCCTGAACTGAGGTTGATTTGGTAGCTTGGGCAATTCAAATTTGTTTTACTAAACGAAGACCATGTCCTCATGTGGATAAGTCGATCTAACTTCTGTTTATCTGGGTTTCGTAAGCTGCTAAAGTGTCGTTTTGTAAGTTCCGTCATGGTCACCAACACCTATAAGACAACATTGCCATGCTGTAGTATATGACTCAGCCACATCAAAAGAAAACTGGCTATTTCACTCTCTCCCCTGACTTATTCTTCACAAAATTACGGAGGGTGACCTTTGTATCATCACTTGTTGAACCCGAAACAGCCTTTGGGAAAATGTCCACCGTGTGACCATGTGACCTATGCTGTTTTTACAAATGACGGTCTACTGGGGTTCCTTTTCATTTTAGAAACTCGCGACCACTTGCGATCGAAAGAACATAAAAAACACTTCCAGAAGCCCGTGCCCACGGGACCTGGGGCGGTCAAACGACGCTTCCAGGCCGTCAGAAGAGTTCAAAACGGTAAGGGTGTAAAAATGGATGTAAATTCCGTTTCGGGCCGTAGCTCCTCCACCTGAGGGAGAAAGTTCCCACAACCTTCGCTGAAAAATGCTATTTTGGATGCTGAAAATGACACCGTCAACAGTTTTTACCTATCTTGTAACCCAGCGGTTCAGGAGACTAAAAACTTCACAAGATTACGGAATTTACAAAGTTTTGTAAATTCCGTAATCTGTAAATTCCGTCATTATTTCTGTAAATTCCGCCGCATTTCATAGGGAGTGAAAATAAAAGTCAACTTGTAGCGCTGCCACGCTCAGAGGGGTACTGTGGGGTACTATGTATGCCATCTACACCAAATTTAGCCCCTAAAGTTGAACTTTAAAAAAGAACATTTGGTACATCCAAAATGACCCCCTACGCACGGAATCACCCATACGTGAAAATTGATACCTCCAGTCTAAAATGTCAAACCACTTAGTGTAAATTCGTAATGCCGCAACCGTACGGAAACGGCAACTAGTCTCTTCTGAAGTGCAAAATTTGAATGCGCAACAATAGTTAAAATCATTTTGGTGGAGGGACTGTCCTTTCTTATGGAATTTCTTGTCCATAACAATTGCCATAGGAAGTACTTGAACCTATCCCCCGGAACTTACCTCCTGTTTTTTTTTTTTTTTTTTTTAAAGAAGTAAAACGAATAAAATGATTTTACCATAGCCTTTTGTTTCACACAATGTAATTAACACAGAAGTGTCTTAAATTGAATACAAGTCGCTTCAGTTTAAGTATATATCATGATTCCAGTCACAGAATATTACAGTCAATGAAAAAAATTAAAATAAATCCTAGAGAAGCTAGAGATACTGTGCAAGTGCAAACTGATGGCCAGAACCGCCAAGTTCAAAATAGTTGCAGTCGCTACAGGAAACTCTTCTTCTTCTTCAGCAGGGAATCGAGAGACACGGTCCCGGACTTGTCCCCCATGTAGAACAGACGAATGGACGCGGCGTCTGCTGGATTGAGTCGGCAAGCCTGCGAGCACACAAATGGCGAAGTCAACCACACTGCAAGAAAAAAAACGCAACAAAAGTACACAACTTCCTGGAAATTTTTTATCGGGAATTTATTGTACTTTCACAGTACAAGAATTGTTTTACAAGGTACAGTGGAACCGGCATTACGAGTGCTGTGCGGTCCAGGCCTCGTTGTGGTTTGTACAATTCGAGGGGTCCTATTCAAAAGATCTTATCTGGGCGTCCCCCCCCCCCCAAGACAATCTTATCTTAAACGCAGGCGAATTTCACTACCATTTGGTACGGGTACGAGAGTAAGCGAAATATATTTATACGTGCACTATATTGGTTTCTTTGATCTTTCAGCTTCACATTTCAGTGATTTTAATTACAAATTATATTGATTTGTAGATGTACCAAATGATCAAACTGAGTGAAATTCGCCTGCGCCTAGGATAAGATTGTCTCCCAGATAAGATGTTTTGAATAGGACCCCTCGAATTCTCCTTGTATTTACTACAATCCCTGCTGTACTTCTATAGTACAGTTTTAGTTGTACTTTTGATGTACTAGTCACACTTTTCCTTGCAGTGCGGTAGAACCGTCGTCTTAAGGGGGTGTACACACCCAAAACCTGACGTGTTTTATTACTCTGCTCTACAAATCGAAGAGCGTACATTGTATGCTCTAAACTGGAGCATGCCTGCAAGCACGCTCCAGCTAGCGCATGCCTGCCAAGCATGCACTTACTAGTGCATACATGCCAGGTACACGCTTACTGAAGCATGCATCTAGTGTATAAGGGATAGGGAGTTGCTTCCATCAGGAAGGGTGTACCTGGCGTGTATGCACTAGTTAGTGCATGCTTGGCAGGCACAAGCTACCTAGAGCGTGCTTGCAGGCATGCTCCAGTTAGAGCATACTATGTACGCTCTTCGATTTGTAGAATAATCTAAGTGAGAGACAGTCCCACACTATTTGGCGAGAACCACAATATCTCACGGTTTAAAGTGTGGGCCACGTTAGTCCCATGCTTCCAACTGTGCGACACGGTTCGTCCCACGTTAGCAAGTGTGACAAGTTTTGCCCCAAACCTGCTGCCAAGGATTCCCTGCCGTTTACGCCAAATAGTGAGACAAATAGTCTGACACTAAATTTGATAGCGTTTGTCTGCTCACTAAGAAGTCGGTGGCAACTTTGCTTGCCCATTGGCAAACTATTTTGAATGACAAAATTTGGCAAGCTTGGCCCAGACATACTCCTCAGCTTACCTCAGTTTGGCATTGCAGGCGGATGAAGCTCCTAATATTGACATGCTGATAAAGACATAAGGTCAAGTCTTGCCAATTTTTGGCATTCAAATCGGCTTGCCAGGACTGTGGCAGACAAGCCTGCCACTGAATTTGCAGTGTAGCAAGAGTACTAGATAACATATCATGTTTTCCTTTTCGCACTTAATTTTCTGATAGTTTGCACTACCTATTTAAAAAAAAAGCCAACTTTTGCTCTACGACAGATTTAACTTAAGTTGAGTTGACATCTAACTGACACCAACACCAACACTAAAAGTTGGTGTCCCATAACCTCCATGAAATTCAAGGCTCTTTTGTATACCTCACCCACCACAATCACAAGGCTGGCGTAATTTTGGCAAAACCACCAAATTTGGCCGTGTTATAATCAAATTCTTTAAGTTCATGGTGCCATTTCTGTTGTGAAATTAAACATACTGTTATTTTACGGAAGACAAGACACTAGAGGACAACATTTTTCAACTGAGTTCTTCGAGAAATGAAAATTTGCAACACCAAAAACTTAACTTTGGTAACATTGATAGCAAAACTTTTTTTTTACAAAACGAGTAAGCACACTTTCAGCACAATACTGACTTTTCTCTCATTAACTACGTATTCTTGTAAGCAACAATAATACTTAGTATTTAGTAAGAAGGTATGACTAATTTCCTTTCTAAAATTATGTACAAAGTACAAAGCCAAACTGTCAGTACACTGTTTAATATTTCGTAAGTAGTTCTTTAGAAAAGGAAAATTAAGTATTGTGGTAGCACAAATTACTTGCATAAGTACTGACAAGATGAGCAGAGAAAGTCAGTAACGCCCTGAGAGTGCAACCTCACCTAAACTACAGTTCTGATATGAATCTTTCATGCCCAATGACGGAATACACGAAATTCTCTCTCTTCTCACTCCTCATGCCTACCTCCTCAAAGTGGCGTTCAGCCTCGGCCTCTCTTCCGCCCTGCCGCTTGCACAGCGCGCCCAGCCTGAGGCGCAGGTAGCAGCGGTCCCCGACGGCAGCCCTGCAGCGCAGCAAGAGGCGCTCCGCCTCGGCCACCATGGTCTTGGTGACGCCATGGACCTGCAAAATAAAACAAAGAGGTAAAAAAAAATTTTGGTCATTTTTTATCTTTCTGTTTAGACTTTCATGTAGAGACGGGTGTTAATGCTAGAGACAATCGGTACACCATATTTAAATACGTTGTTAACAGATTTCTCCGTTTGCCAGAGAGTGTGGACGTTGCACAATGGGCCAGAAGACCGTTGGAAGAGGGCAAACCTCTAGACGCATTTTGAGCGACAGAGTTTCTTAAAAGGACTCGAAGACCAGAGCACTCCACCAATGGGTTCGAAATCCATCGTTAGGGTCACACATTCGGTTCGAGCCCCATTAAGCGACTCTACAGCTGAAAACCGTCTTGACTTTGACTGCCTGCACCGATCTTCTGGTCCACTGTGCGTTGGACGTACCCGAACCAGCACGTCGCCGGCGTGGCTCAGCACGTAGGGGTGGTCGGGGTAGAGGCGCAGGGCTTCACCCAGCAGTTCCACAGCCTCGGCGCGGCACTTGTCCAAGGGCAGCTTCTCGGCCAGGGTCAGAGCAGTGTGGGGCCCCGGGCGCAGGCGGTGGGCCTTCCGCAAGTGCTCCACGGCCGAACCACCGCAGAAATCGTTGTTGCCCTTCATCCAGTGCCACTCGCCCTCGCGCCGGCTGATCATTATGCTCAGGTCTAAATAGGTGAGAGAGACGTCTGCAACATGGAAAAGGAAAAAAAAGCTTATAGGGGTCATTTTTCAGGATGGTACAATTAGGAGTCCCTAGGGGCTTCAAGCACGCACACTTCATGTTTAGGTACTTTGATTGTCGATAACTGTGGCCATATTTGTGCATACCGAAGCTATTTCTTGAGGTATTAACAATTTACTTAGGATTTAGGGACAATAATTTCATTAAGTGTTTAAGTATTCATAAAATTGAGCTTATACAAATTTGTACATAACTTACATATGCACACGTGAGAGAGTGTGCACTCACAAAACCAGTGATCCGGCTTTCGCGTCCATGACGCTCTCTTAGGCCTCCAAATTACCAGAATTTACCTGAAAGGATCTCAAAACTTTAAAAAAGTAGGTCAAATTCTGAGAACTTCGGCTGTATATGGACTTTCTGAACGTAACTATTGCCATATTTGTGTATTCGAAAGTAATGTACAAATCGATGCAAGACAAAGGTAGTCGTTAAAGTACTTGCACAATATGGAAACGTTGTCCGTAATTTATGTATAAAAATGCATGCGTATGCACAATATGGCAATAGCTATGAACAAAGAAATGCATAGGGTCAGGGTGGGGAAGAACTGGACAGGGGAAGAACTGGACAGCCCATATTTTACTTCAAATACCGTGCACAGGAATAACAACTATCAAAAGTTGTTCCGTGGCATCAGCGGTTCACTACACGACAGTTGTCAGGCCAGTACATACGGCATTTGAAGTAAAATGTGGAGTGTCCAGTTCTTCCCCTGTCCAGTTTTCCCCCGCCCTGACCCTAAACATGTAGTGTGGTCCTCCGACACCCTGTTTAGAGATCCTATCCTCACCGTGCTGCAACTTGCTGACCCCCGCGTGGATGGCGTGCACTGCGGCCTGCAGGTCCGGGCTCAGCTTCTTGAAGGGCGTGATGTTGCTGACGAAGGCGCGCAGCATGGGCGGCGTGGACCGCGTCCGGCACCACTCCATGACGGCCCAGAAGGAGTCCAGCACGTGTCGCATGGCGGGGCTGGGAACACGAAACGCACTGGTAGAGACATTGTCGCAAGTTTGACAAGTCCCTTATCACCAATGCTATGGAAAATCGTTCTGGAATGATTCACAAGGTGTCAGTTGCCGATTGCTTTCATACTTCGGGATCTTCAAGACCACCAGAAAAAAATAATTTCAGCATCCACAGTTTGTGCTGAAAGTTACTAAACCAAACCCATGTGAAAGTTGAAAATTGACCAATTTTCAGAAAAATGTCCAGAAAATTGAATTTTACCAATACTTCCTAGCGGTCTGACTGAAACGTCCAAATATATGTTTGTTTCCGATTTTTACTTGTTCTTTACAAAAACAAAAAAATATTACCACCTAAACGAGTATTGTGCTCAGCATTGGAATGTGGTGATGTGGTTAACCTCGATTCATTATACACACGAGTTCCGGAATATCAAAATTCGATAGATCTTGATACCCTTACCAAAAATACTATGAGGTTATCTAATTAGTTTCTATGTTAAACACTGCAACTCACCGGTACTCCTTGAGTAAGGCACACTCGTGCTGACAGAAGGGCTGCGGCAGAATGTAGAAATAGCAGTCCCTGAGAAGAGCGATCGCATCGTCGTCGCGGTCGTGGGTGCAGTACGCGTACGCCACGCTGATCTGCGGCCAACAGAGAAACGGCATGTGTTGACACTGAGATTCCAAACGCTGTGTGTATAGCACGTATCGGGCAATGCAGCTGAGATATCGCACCATACGTGCAATGCGATAGCCATATTGCACCTTACGTGCAATGCATCCCGAAAAGGCCCTATGCTAATGTATGGGAATAGGGAGGCATTGCACCTCATGTGCAATGCTTTTGCATTGCACCAATTGACGCTATACTCATAGCGTTTGGATTCTCAGTGGATTCCCACTTGGTAAGCCCACTTGTAGTATTACGCCTGTCCTCAAGCGTAAAATCTTGAAGCGTACCCCTGCGCTTGACTTTAAACGTAAGAAGAGCTACGCTTGAAGCCATGCGTAGGGGTAGGTTGGGTAAGAAAAGTACACTCGAAGGTCGGGTAAGAAAAGTACACCCGTTATATCTCCGAACTGAAACTACACTGAACCATCACGTTAGTGGTTTTAGAAAGATTGGTCATCCCGCTCACAAAAAATAAATTTAGCCCAGTTCTACATATAATATTTAGAATCAAACTGCACGTTTGAAAAACACATTAGAAATAACTATAAAAATCTTTTTTTTTTTTAATGTTTGTACTTGAAGCACAGCTTCCTGCAGAATCAGCCGACAGGCCCATGTAAGGTACCACCTTACAGCTAAGACCATCATCTTTGAAAAACAGTGCCGTTCGATGCTCTTAGGCTTCAACACAATTTTTGGCGAGCGATAGCGAGCCCATGCCGTGTTTGGGGGCACCAAAAAGTGACTGGTCGTGCGTCTGTCTGTCTGTCTGTAACTCACTCACGTTTCTCAGCAACTACCGCACAAATAGTTTCAAAATTTCGCACCGGAAGGCTCCTAAATCTCCCCCAGGGGGAGTTTATCTTATATTCACGATTACTATTGTTTGAAATATTCAAAACATCTTTTTGAATTAGGTTCTTAGCGTGGTTAGGTTGGTAGTGGTTGGCAGCTAGTAGCAATTTTTCATACTTGCGGCCGCGACTCTCAAATACGGGACCTGGCAAAACATTGGCAAATAAAACAAACTAAAGAGCAGAAGGGCTTAAAAGTGAGTACGGTCATAGTTTTTTCGATATTTTAGAATGATTGATACCCCTCCGGAGTGTCAACACAGTGAAATACGGAAAATGAAAGTGACAATTATTACGCGTTTCGTCCGTCCGTCCACCCCCTCCCCTCCCCCGCTACAGGGGAAATGTTTTAGTCAGTGGAGTGTGTTTGATAATTGCAAGAATGATTTGGTCTTTTTAACCTTTGTGAGTGTATTTCCATTTATATTCTCAGACACTATATTTTTTAGTTGTTTGCTTTGCTCAATAACAGTTAGAAAATATATTAATACATTCTATGAGTACAAACCAGATGCTAATCTTGCCAAAATAAATAGTCTTTGCTGACTCTTGGCACTGATTCTGGGAAAAGGCTTCATTGCAATGCTGTGAATTTACTATAGTACTAACCTTAAAGAAAACCATATGATGAGTGAGTGTAGCGCATTCAAGGTTTGACATTGACATCAGATTCAATGACACGATTCACTGACTTGATCATATGATTTCATGAGACGATTCTTTTAACTTAATCATACATTGTCTGCGACAACTGGTAATTTGTGTTGGTCATGGTTTAAGTTGGCTTTTTTTTTTAATTTACTCAGAATGTTAGGTAAATACTTTTGCTAAACTCCCGTATGAAAATGAAAAGCACGCTTTTAGGACGCTTTTAGGACGCAAACAGGACGCTTGACCTTGGCTCAGACTTGTTCGCTTTCAGTCTGCTTTCTAGGTGGACTAGGACGTAAACAGGACAGAATCGCCCAAAAAGCGCCCTCCGCGCGCCCTAGTCCGCGCGGGACTAGGGCGCTTTCAGTCCGCTGCGCGGGACTAAAGCGGACTAGTCCCCTGACGCATCCCCGCCAAAAGAATGCCAGCACTGCGAGAAAAGATCACGGTAAATCCTGTACTGATTACTCCAGACTTCACCGTACTTTTTTTAACAGGCAATACCGTCGTTTTTTTACAGGCAATACCGTACTTATTTTACAGGCAACGCCGTACTTTTTTATAGGGAATCCCGTACTTTTTTACCCGGCAATCCCGTACTTTTAATACCTATCAAAAACTGCTATAATTTTTTTCAGCCGGTCGACCCTCGTTTTTCAAGATCCTGATGTACGTAACTGCTCAAGTCGGACTCCTGGACCCCCCTTCCGACCACTCGTTGAAAAGGTCTTGACGAGACCTATCGAAAGGTGCAATAAAATTTCTCAGTCGGTCGACCCCCTTTTTTCAAGATCCTGATGTGGACAATTCTTGGGTGCGGCCTTTGTTGGGACCAGATTTAGTCCTTCCTACGGCATGGACTGTACGAAAGAACGGTAACTTCTGTTAAAAAAACTACGGAATATTTTGTAAAACAAGTACGGTAAATACTGTAGACTGTACGGTGGATACTGGTTTATGAAGTACGGTAAAGTTTGGCAAAAAAATTATCCAGGATTTACCGTCATTTTTTCTCAGAGTGAGCGCCGGGCCGCCGGGCCGCCGGGCCGCCCGGGCCCCGCCCCGACCAGCTGCTGAGACACAGGCTTCAGTGGTAGTCGATCCCCGGACTGCTGTGTTGATGACTCGCCTGGCTCTTCGATGTCGAGGACGGTGACCACTGCGCTAACCTGGAACATGGGGACCGGGGCCGCAGGCGAGCCTCTTCACTGGCGCGGCGCGCTCAGCGCACAGGCAGTGCGCGCGCTCCCTTCCCTCCTCTCTGGCGGGCGCGCCTTTCAAGATTGAGAGGTGCGGTTTTCAACTTGGTGGTTGCTTTGCATAGAAATTGGCATCTAGTATGACTGGTCACGTGTCGCATACAAATATGTACGAAATATTTCGTAGACGTAAAATTTTGTACGGTTCAAACAAAATAGAACAGATACATTTACCCAAGGGGCAACCACTCCAGAAATCTTGTCACCTAAGCGCTAAAAATCTCTGGGAAATCTGAAATCTTGCCTTTAAAAAGACCAAAAACAAGCTAAGTTTGGGCGGAATATTGCTTAAAATCTTGCAAAATCCGACGAAATCTTTGGCCCTCAGAAATATTGTGTCCCCAAACATCCAATGTGGTTGCCCCCTCGCATTTACCACGCGTCAAGTTAAAAACAAGGAGTAGAACTTAGAACCAGAAATGGGCTTGTCTTCAGCAGCCCTGCACAGTGGAAGAGATTCATAGTAGTATTGGTGTTGAACCATGTGAAAAGCGTTAAAATGTCAATCACTGAGCACTGTGTTCTTCGAGGGTAGGATAAATATACCGCCTGACCAAAATTGACACCAGTTGAAATAGGTATTATAGAAGCATTGCGATTGAGAGTAAAGGTGCTGGAAGCGCTAAGGGCAGGGACGACATTGAACATTTAACACTCGATGACTCGATCACCTACCCCTGAACACTTGCGGACTAGTGCGCTAAAGGTACGCTTGCATGAGGGACTAGGACGTGAAGAGGCCGCACAAGTGCCGGACTCCGAACGCCCTAGTCCGTGCGGGCATTAGCGCGCCCTCTTCACGCCCTAGTCCCACCTGCAAGCGTACCTTCCGCGCACTAGTCCGTCTCGAGCGTACCAAAAGCGGACTAGTACCCTCCTCGGGCGCGGACGGCGGGACTCCTAGCGCCCTAGTACCCAACGGAGGGGCCTACACTGCAAACCTAACTGTCTACTAAGTACACACTTACAACTGCATGCTTGCAAGTACACACTTACAAACGCATGCTTGGCCAAGTACACACTTACAAATGCATGCTTGCAAGTACACACTTACAAACGCATGCTTGACGCATGGAGTTATACGGCGTTAAGCATGCGTTTGCAAGTGTGTACTTGCAAGCATGCATTTGTAAGTGTGTACTTGGCCAAGCATGCGTTTGTAAGTGTGTACTTGCCAGCATGCATTTGTAAGTGTGTACTTAGTAGACAGTTAGGTTTGCAGTGTATCCGCGTACAAGTCTCGCGCGTCTTCGAGACTAAAAGCGTCCTAGGACGCATGTTTGCGCACCAAAAGCGTACGAGTCCAGCCTGCAGCGTCCTGTTTGCGTCCTAAAAGCGTCCTAAAAGCGTACTTTTCGTTTTCATACGGGCTGTTTCAAAGAGTTAATAACACACCATGACTGTCATTATGAATAAGGTAAACTTGCGTTTAGCAATAAGTGGCCTCGACATTAGATTCTATGAAACGATTCATTGGATCTGACAGAAGGTCTTCTCCATAAAGTAGTTGAAATCAGCCTGCCTGTAAATATGTCTCTTTTTAATCAATGCAGATAAATCAATATAGTTTAATCCACTAGTTTAAACTAAAAGGGAGAAAGGCTTTTTAGGTATTACTAATAACATTGCGTATTCATAAGTTCAGTAACAAGGAGATATCGAATGGTAATTGAAGTATTTGTGAATCGTATTAAGCAATTCAATGCTGGCTGTTAAATGTTACTCGACTGAGTAACAGGGTCAGGGTTCATGGCATGACACCATGAACAGGAAACGCTCTTAAAAAACGTAACAACTGAAGACCCATACTTTCAACTAGAATTACATGATTTAGGACCAAAATTTCCTCGGTGTTTCATTGCTTCCTGCAGTATTTGGTGTGCTGATCACAAAAATGACTTCCAATTTCATCCCAGACCTTTACTTTTCCAAATATTTACCAATTTTGGACCAAAATTTTTACATCGAGTTTTACATAGTTTCCTGCAGTTTTTGGTGTGCTGATCACGAAAATGACTTCCAATTTCATCTCAGACCTTTACTTTTCCAAATATATACCAATTTTGGACCAAAATTTTTACATCGAGTTTTACATAGTTTTCTGCAGTTTTGCTGATCACGAAAATGACTTCCAATTTCATCTCAGACCTTGCACAAAACCGCTGATGCCACGGAACAACTTTTGATAGTTGTTATCCCTGTGCCTACGGTATTTGAAGTAAAATATGGGGTGTCCAGTTCTTCCCCTGTCCAGTTCTTCCCCGCCCTGAACCTAGCTCCGAAACTCCATGCAACGCTCAAGCCTTTTCCATAAATACTTGCCAAGTATGCAATTGTAAGAGTAAAGTCAGAAGACAGTTGGGTTTATAGTGCAAATCACGATAAAAATGTAAGAACGCTACCACAAGAGCAGTACTAATAGGAGGGATGGTTGTCTTTACCATGTCCAAGACGCGGTGCCAGGGCGTGGGCGCCAAGTCCAGCTTGTCCGTCGTGTTGCTGGCCACGCTCAGGGGCATCGGGACGACCGGCATGCCGATCTTGTCCTTCCACAAGCTGGGGCACGACAGTTTCTCCTGCCAGCTGTCGTCCATGCTCATGAAGCTGCACAACGAATCGGACGCGTTAAGATCACTGTAAAAAAATAAATATAGGAGGCAGTGCTTTGGTTTTCATAAGGCGAATCAGTTGCTCACTATGAAAGACTCATACTATCACAGTCCGAACTCTAAAACTCTTATGAGATACGAAGATATAGAGGCTTTCGTAATATTTAAGTCGTTAAATAAAAATTCTCTGTGCACAGAACCAAAAAAGTTTTGGAAGGGATGTGATTTCTAATTTAGAAGTCGAAACAACGCACGAACATGCGTCGGATTGAGAAATAAACACGAAGGGTAGCCGCAACCTTTAAGGGGGCAATACACTGAAAATGGCCAAAAACTGACTTGTGCGATTGCTTCCATACGCGTTGTTGAGCGTTGTTCAAACTCTTCATGTGTCAAGACCTTACAAAAAGAAGCATTTTAAGCCCAGAATGGCATCGATCGGACGTCAGGGAGCGGAGCAGCGCCCAATCAAATTTTCGTCAAAAGTCGAACTGGCGGGTGTCCCTCAGTCCGCAAAAATGAAGATATCTCGACCCCGTTTGCGCCAAAATGTAGGAAATTGAAGCGGCTATAGCGCAAACTAGGATTATAAACATCGAGCAACCGGAAGTACAAAATTTCATCCAAAAACACTTTTTGAAGATTTTGCAAAAATGATCAAAACAGGTTTTTTGGTAAAATTTTGTACTTTTGATAGTTCGATGTTCATAATCCTAGTTTGCGCTAAAGCCGCTTTAATTACCTACATTTTGGCCCAAACGGGGTCGAGATATCTTCATTTTTGCGGACTGAGGGACGCCCACCAGTTTGATTTTTGACGAAAATTTGATTGGGCGCTGCTCCGCTCCCTGACGTCCGATCGACGCCATTCTGGGCTTAAAATGCTTCATTTTGTAAGGTCTTGACACGTGAAAAGTTTGAACAACGCTCAACAACGCGTATGGAAGCAATCGCACAAGTCAGTTTTTGGCCATTTTCAGTGTATTGCCCCCTTAAAAAGAATCTCTTATTCTTAAGAATTAAATTTAGCTACAGTTTGATTTAGTCCTTTGTTTTTGAACAAAACCCCTTGTTAAATTGGGAAATTTGGGTATCCGCCTTTACCACAAGGTAGGCAATCAATGAAGAACGCACGCAAATCTCGAGTGTACTCAGTGCACAAGTGCATATTATTTCGTCCTCATGATCAAATAGTATAATGCAGCATGTTTGTTTACCGAAAACTTCCCTACAGCAACCATTCTACTCACGGTTATCAGAACACCTGCTGCAATCTTTCAGATGGTCAGGAAAACTCAAATGAAAAGGATTTCGGAAAATTTTGCTGGGTGTCGAAGACGCGTTTGCCCCCTGAAGTTAAAATTCACAATGCCGAAGATGCATAGAGTTACATTTCTGACTTCGCGCAAGATTTTGGCCGATTTTGGCATTTTTTTAAAAGTTGAAAACGCGTGATTTACGTGCCCGGTTAGTGTGTGCGGTAGTTAGGGAGATAAAGCTGTCCTTGGAATCGAACCGCACGTCGTTACGTCGAAAAAGTGGAAACTGTGACTTAAGACAAAAAAGGGCCCCAAGTTTTGGCAACCTTCCGTATGCGCTTCAATGCACTACACTCTTAAGAGCCTACGAAGCATTGGCTTCGTAGCTACAAAGAAAATGAAGGCATTGTAGAATTGCTTCGTATTATGAAAAAATGCTTCATGTTACGAAGGATTTTGCTTCCTAATACGAAGCATTTCTTCGTAGATTTTACAATGCCTTTATTTACTTCGTATCACGAAGCGACTTTTCGTAGAGTTTTTCGGTGATACGTGTGTACTTCACTGGTAAAACTAAAGCGTAGTGTTACTCTCTGTTTTCAAGCGTAATCAGTTTACGCTTGAAATCAAGCGTAACAGGCTCAACGGCCAAGATTCCCCCTGTCTAAATGCATGGGGGAATTTCCCGAGTATCCTTCATTTCAAGCGTAACGTCCTCAAGCGTAACTTTATGCTTGACTCAAGCATAGGGTTACGCTTTAGATCTACCAGTGTGGATGTTGTCCACACTTAGGTTTTCAATATGGGCTCTTACCTGCTGTTGGCGATGATGTATTGTCTGCGCTCCCGTCACCGTTTGGGCCCGACACATCAAATGGTCCGGTTGTTCTGAACAGCAGCATGAAGAGGGAGAAAATATCAGTAGGCGGAAGGGTCTAGGGAACGGTGTACCTGGACGAAGCCGGAAGCCGGTTTGCCTCGTCAGACTCACGCAACAATGCCTCTTAGTGCAACAGATGGGAAGGGCAGACAAGCAGACCGGCCACAACAGTGAAAGGGAGCAAGGAACTGGGGCAGTTCGTAACAGATTTTGAAATTTTGAGCCACTTCTCAACGATCCGATCAGTACAGTGCTGCTTGCAAATCAACACGATCCTTAAAGTTGAAGGCAAGTCACATTCGTATTTACGTAAGGAGCCCCCCCCCAATGCGTAGATATGGGTGTTTGTTCTTAACTGCCCCTCTCTCCTTTACTGAAGCGCAGTCAAGCATCACGCCGACAGGAATAAGTCTATTCTCATAATTAGACTTTTTCAGCAAACTAACCCAGCAAGGCCTGAGGTGACAAAACTGAAGCGAAACGCGTTTTCCTTGGAACTTTGGCAAGACCAATTTATGACAGTTATCTTTACTTCAAGTTTTGATTCCGTATAAGTACATACAATCAGTAAATTGGTGATGTTACTTACGTCTTGGTTGAGCGGGGTTTTCACTTGAGCGGGGGCTTCATCTGAGCGGGTTTTCGTTTGAGCGGGGGCTTCGTTTGAGCGGGTTTTCGTTTGAGCGGGGGCTTCGTTTGAGCGGGGGCGGCAGTTGAGCGGGGGCTTCGTCTTAGCGGGGCCTTCATTTGAGCGGGGGGCCTTCGACTGAGCGGGGGACCTTCGTTTGAGCGGGGCCTTCACTTGAGCGGGGCCTTCGCTTGAGCGGGGCCTTCGTTTTAGCGAGGCCTTCACTTGAGCGGGGCCTTCGTTTGAGCGGGGCCCTTCGTTTGAGCGGGGCCCTTCGTTTGAGCGGGGCCTTCGTTTGAGCGGGGCCCTCTGTTTAAACGATCCCGCGCAGCCAGCGCTACGCCAGCGCTCCCTGTGGTTGACTCGCAAAGCACTGGCTAGCCTCGCTGTATGCACGTCCCTTGCCCGTATGACAAATTGTTCTGCTCGCGGCGAAATGCAAACGGAACCGGTAGAATAGTCCATCAAATAATTTGCAACCGTATGTAGAGATTTAAAATTACGCTTAAGATTTAACGTTACGTTCAATACGAAAATAGAAATGAATGTGACGGTATTTTTGGGTAAGAATGGTTACATTTAGACTTTATTTTAGCTGCTCTATTATAGATCCACCGGGTAAACCTAGTATTAAGGACGTTACGTCCTGTTATAATCAACAATTCCGTTCATTGACAGGTCATACATTGCATTTTTCTTGAGATATTTTAGCTTTTTTGTACATATTGACCAAGTTTTTATCGTTCAATGAACGGAAGGTTAGGTTAGATCGAGAATTCCGGTTTTGCAGGCGTAAAGTAGGGTAAGGTGCCCAGTGATGGCTACTTTTAGCGCACTGATGCGCCTTCAACCCCTTTACTGAGTGTCCCGCATGTCGTACCGGTATGAACATTTTCAGGGACATACAAGAAGGATAGAGTAAAGGTTCGCAAGGTTGAAAACCAGGAAAACAAAATTTATTCTGTGAGAAAAAAATTACCAAAATGTCAGTTCAGTTTGCCCAGTGATGGCCACCTTTTGCCCAGTGATAGCCAGTGTCCCGGCCCAGTGACAGCCACATTAGGGTTTGAGCGCTTTGATTTTTTGTTTTAGACAGTTATTGAACCCATTTTGGACTGGGTTGCACCGTGTTCGAAGCTAAAGGGGTCGCTGTGTCTAAGGAAATAGAAATCAGTGTACCCTGGGAAATAAACTCGTGTGTTTACCAGAAACAAAGAAATAAAGTTAAAATTTCAAGTTTGCGATATTAACGATTTGGTAACCGAAATGATTTGACCTCAAGAAGGTGAATATATAATGTTAAGCATGTTATAGGTAGAGACTTCAAATTCAAAAGTTTACTGGTGTCGGAAGAGGAAAAAGGTATAAAATGCATCGTTTTCCCCCCTTTGATCTCTCAACGTTTAACAGACTTTTTTGTTGTACCGAGCAAAGTCGTTAAAATTGTAACATGACCGAGTCATTGTGTGAGTTTTAGAACGTTTCCTTGCCCAACTTGCACAATTGTTCAAGATTATATTCATACACTGGTAAAACTAAAGCGTAACTCTATGCTTGAGTCAAGCATAAAGTTACGCTACGCTGGAAGACTTTACGCTTGAAATCAAGCATAGACTAGAAATTCCCCCATGCATTTAGATAGGGGGAATCTTGGCGGATGAGCCTGTTACGCTTGAATTCAAGCGTAACCTGATTACGCTTGAAAACAGTGGGTAATACTACGCTTTAGTTTTACCAGTGTATTGTATTTAGTATATTTATTCCTTCGATTCGAATCGGATTCGAAGTAGGGACATTCGATTCGGGCGAAAAAAATAAAATTCGATTCAATGGGGGGAGAAAATAAAAATTCAATTCCATTGTATTAGATTTGACTTTGAAACATGCCACTTCGCACACCACTATCATCAACAGGACAACAAAAACAATCATTTGGTTAGTCGGTGAAACAGGTCATCGATTGGTGTGATCACGTTTTGCTAGTCTGAACGGAATGCCTTAGTCACCATCGGAAAGGAAATTTTGTGTTGAGTCGAAAAGATGCCTCGTGCGTTGGATTTGGTCACGTCTTGCCAAAGCTACGTTCACTTTAGTGTTGCTGCGTCGCCAAAATCCGCTGCGTGCCATCCGCCGCCGCGCTGGCTGCAGCGGAGATAATGGGGGCGGCCCACGCGCCCGGTCGCGGTCGGTGCCGGAGGAGAGAGTTGTGGAAAGAAGAAACACTGTTATTCAACGTTGAGAGAAGTACATTCAGCCATGTGGTTGACGGTTAGGAGGAAAAATGGAGTCGAAACGTTTCTGAATCAACCAAAACCCCAAAATATCCAGTTTTTTGATAGATATCTCCAAAACCATTTATCCGATTTTGAAACGTTAATGCGTATTCAGACCACTCATTCAAGGGGGCAGTCTCGTCCTTGTACCCTTTTTGAGGGGGTTTTCCCCCTCTTTTGATGGCGATGATTTTTTTTAAATATACTTCTTAGAGACTAGAGACAAAGAGTAAAAACGAAAGGAAAGAACGTAATTTTTACAACATTTTCAAAAATAAATATTTTGTTTTGTCTTTAGTTGTAAGGGAGTTATAGGTAGTGCAACAAAAGCCGGCAAAACATACAAAATTTCACTGCGCGACGTTTTTCTCCAGAAGTTCTTAACTCTTTGGCAATCGGTTTGCGGCATTTTGAAGCTAAAACAATGGTCTTTACTTTCGCTCACAATCATCCCTAAAGCCCTAGGAGAACCATTATTAAAACCATACCGAAGTTTGTAGATATGTTTGGACACGTTTATAAAAAACGTTTTCCTTGGGCTACAGGGATGATTGTAGACCAAGGTGAAGACCATTTTTTTTATCTTCAAAACCAACTGCTAACCAATTGCCAAAAAGTTAAAAACTTCCGGAGAAAAATGTCGTGCAGTGAAATTTTGTATGTTTTGCCATCTTGTATTTGTATTTCGAGATCAGCAGCATCTTTGTTTTGCACTACCTATAACTCCCTTACAACTAAAGACAAAACAAAATATTTAGTTTGGAAAATGTTGTTAAAACTACGTTCTTCCATTTTGTTTTTACCGTTTGTCTCTAAGAGGTATATTAAAGAAATCACCGCCATCAAAGGAGGGGGTAAGCCCCCCCTAAAAAAGGGTACAGGGACAAGACTGCCCCCTAATTGCGAGTCAAACGCCCCAAACTGGAAGTTCCTTCGTCGTCCTGATGGTCACAGAGGTTAAAAAAAAGTCAAAATGGGAGACTTTGAGTCAGTTCACTTATGAAGCTAAACAGAAAAAGGGTTTCTATGTATCGAATCATATTCTGATTTTCTGATGGATACGTCCAAATTATTTTCGACTATTGAAACGGTTCCGTTTCGCATTTCGCCGCGAGCAGATCAATTTGTCACCCTTTAGGGGTGTTTTCCCGTGGTTTAGGCATTTTTTTTTAAGTCAACCACAGGGAGACAAGAGTAAGCGAGGCTGGCGGGACGTTTTAACAACATTTCAAACGAATGACCGTCAAACGATGGTCCGTTATTGAAGGGCCCCGCTCAAACAAAGGCCGCTCAAACGAAAAATTTCCTGCGTAAACGGCTTTGCTCAAACTAAGCCCTCCTTCAATCGAAGGCCTGAACAAAACAAGGTCTCCTTTCGTCGAAGGCACCCTAAAGGGGCCCTAAGACGAATCCCCGCCAATGCCGCCCCCGCTCAAACGAAGCCCCCGTTCAAAAAAACTTTTCCTGGCACCCCCCGCTCAAACGAAAACCCGCTCAGATGAAGCCCCCGCTCAAGTGAAAACCCCGCTCAAGTGACGCGGTCCCCCTTGCCTATGTCACTTCAAGTTCCGCTCGAATCGAAAAATTTCTGGACCAGATCGACATTTCATAGTTAAGTTGCGTCGTGGATGAAGTCTAGACGATAACTTTTTCGTGGGTCTCAAACTTTTGTAAGTCAATGTTCCGTCTTGGTGTAACGCTCTGTCGTGGACATTAAGCCTTGAAGAAGAGCATTTCTACAGAACTCCAGCGGAAGGGGAATTTTTATTTACTTATTTCTTATTACCAGTGTAATAAACACGATAAAATTATATAAAAATTACCACATTGATATATGCTTACGAATTCGGATTCGTCTTTGCAAGACTAACAAAATATGAAAGCATATGAGCGTTAACCGTTTTAAACCGTCAAATTGAAAGCAGCTTTAAACGCTTTAATGTTTTCTTGGAATTAGTGTTTGAAATTATTTCAATGAGAATGCTTGGCAAAAATAGTAGGGCCAAGTTAAAAAAATTTACTCCGGGCGGTGTCCAGATTGGACCACTGTGTCCGGGCATAGGATATTGTGCCCATCTTGTACGATCTTGTAACGCTATAAAAACGTTTCCGCTTTGGTTGCAATATTGCCCCCGAATTTGTTCATAGGAATTTTTGCATCCAATTACGAACAAAGTAATGCATAAGCATTCACAATAAATGTTCTGTGCCTGTTTTGAACATCTGAATTGTTCCTGATTCTTCGAACAGACGAATGCCCATAGACATTTACTGTGCGACGCCTGTCTTCTAGCTGACTGGGCGCCCGTCCTCGCCGTCGTCACCCTTCGACTGCCATGCCACCCAAGGCACGACCCTAATAATGATGACCATGGCAAAAGCAGTATCTGGTATAGGATATTTTAACGAATCCCTGGACCGGAAGGCAAAGAACAAAAGTAAGAACCAAAACGGCTTCTGCGCATGCGCAGACGTCCCCCTTCCACTCTGAGGCAGCGTCTGCGCATGCGCAGACGTCCCCCTTCCACTCTGAGGCAGCGTCTGCGCAAGCGCAGAAGGCGTTTTGGTTCTTACTTTTGTACTTTGATGTCCGGTCCAGGGACTCTTAAAATACCCTATTCACTGAAATTCTGTCAGCGTGACTTCGTGCCGCTGCAGGGGCGTGAATTAAATGTCAAGCCATTAAACGGCATGACAGAAAAGTCACGCCAAAGATCGGAGTGACTCAAAAATTCACGCCAATTTTTGGCGTGCATATCTTGTCATGCCGCTTTTTGGCGTGACTTGTCTCTTAAAACGCGTTGTTATTCACGCAAACTGAGGGCGTGACTCACATGTCACGCCGTTTTTCGGCGTGAATTTCATGTCACGCCAATTTTTGGCGAGACTTTTTGTCACGCCATAATTTGGCCATGTGTCCGACCATTACGTTTTCAGTGTTCCCAGGCCCATCGTGGAAGAGGGGGCTTATTTTCCCGGAGCCGCCTGGGAATCCCAGATACTGATTTTGTCGTAGGCCACACTCCTGACGACACGTTTACATACCTGAACGAACAGACACTGTATCCAAAACGCAGCTAGTATTCAACAAAACACGAACGAGCCGAGGTCACGTACAAGGCACACGCTGCAATAGGAATACGGCGCACGCAACTCGCCGACCCTCCGAGGCGCACAGTGCACTGCAGTGGCGACGTGACCTCTCCCAGCGGAGGACCCCGAAGGACTGCCGTGCTGCCGTGAGCGTGAGGCGTGAGGTGCAAGCAAGGCCGTGCCAAGTCCGAGTTGGCAACGCGATACGAGCCACGGCTGCGCATTCCTCTCCCTCCCCCCCCCCCCCAGCGAGGGCACCGGGCACCCCATCACATCCGCTGTCCAGGCCACTTAGCAGACAGTGCCCATCAAAAAGGTGGACCAAACTGCCCCGAGTGTAGTAAATGAATTTAGACGCCCCTTAAATACAAATGATGCGGTCTACTCATTCGACACAGGGCTCAATTTAGAGCTCTTTAAATAGGCTTTCACATGAAATGGTTGGCCGGGCCAAAAAATGATGTTAAATGCCACTAAATGATATGGTTTTATGAAGTTGACATTTTAGTACTTTTACCTGGTTTTGGCTGGAGTCCTAGAGTGGAGAGAGACGTCACACTGCAAGAAAAAGTGTGAATAGTACAACAAATGTACAACAAAAACTGTACAATAAAAGTACAACAGGGATTGTAGAAAGTACAACGAGAATTGTACAAACCACAACGAGGCCTGCACTGCCCAGCACTCGTCATGCCGGTTCCATTGTACTTTGTACAACAATTGTTGTACTTTGAAAGTACAATAAAAACCTGATAAAAAATTTGCCAGAAATTTGTGTACTTTTGTTGTGGTTATTTCCTGCAGTGCACCGCCAGTGCGTGAGCGCGCGCGCGCGCGGCCAGTGCTGCGCGTGGTTTGCCGTACTTTGCTCTGCTTTGCTGCGAGCCAGTGTCTCCCCGGCTCGGCCCCGCGCGGCTAAGGACTCGGCTTGGCTCCACTCGTACCGACGGTGCCAGATTGCCGGTCGGAAGGGATGCGCAGGACTCTACAGGCAGAGTCCTGCCTAGAGAATAGAGAAATTGAGCAACTTAGAGGCACCGTAGCGTCCGAACCAGACCTCGTAGAGCCTTGCGCGATCCAGCATTCGAACGAGCGCAATTTTTAGGTCTTAAAGCACCTGTTTGAGTCCCATGCCCATCTAGTCCCAAACCTTTGAAAACAGCCATTTTGCGGGTTTTGAGCCTCTACCAAAACCAGGGTTCTGGTTTTCCGGAGGTTTTTCGGCAGTTCGTATCACGGTAAAAACTTTGTCGTGTTTTACAAGGACCCGTCATCTCAGCTAAGGGTCTTGGCTCCTGGTCCTTAGGGAGACCCATCTGGCTAAGGTAGCTCCTTAGCCAAGCGTTTGTTTACATGTCGGCCATTTTGAGCCCAAAACCTAATAATACCGATGCTTCACGCTCAACAGACAAATTTAACCAACTAAAGGTGGTTAAATTTCATAAAATACCAAGGTAAAAAGTGCGATCTCTCCATTTCGAGTCCCTGTTTGCCTCTGGATGGTCTGGTTCATTCACGTCCGTGAAATATATGGTCGGCTGAGGGAGCGCTGTAAACGTAATCAAAATTTCTTTCAGCAATCCTTCCTTCTTTTTGAAAAGCGAGTACAGAATCGGGTTCAGCGTTAAATTTTACGTAAAAACACATGCTACGTTGTGTTTTATTAGTTTATTTTCTGAATTTCTACAATTGGCAAATGTGAGGTCAAAAATGGCGGACGTGAAAGCGAACGCGCTGGGCTAGTTTGGCTAAGAAGCTACCTCAGTCAGAGGGGTCTCCCTAAGGACCAGGGGCCAAGACCCTTAGCTGAGGTGGCCGGTCCTTGTAAAACACGACAAAGTTTTTACCGTGATTGATGTAAGGAACCCACAAACCAAGTTTGTTTCCATTCTGAGGAGGTGCTTAGCCAGGTGTGTTTTCTTATCTGGGGTCTTTCTAAGTGGTTATGATCTCAATTTTCAGATTCACTGATCTACTAATTCAGTTCAAATATCTGAATTGGCGATTCAGTCCGTTAAATCTGAACAATTTCTACTGAAATTTCAGAATTTTTTTACAGTTTTCATGCTTTTGTTTAATCACTGTAATAATCCACTTTCAATTCCAATGGGATAAGTACTTAACATCGTCAATTAAGTGCAATGCTGAGAATCTTGCCTTCAATGCGGCGGTAGTGAAGCCGTCAAAAACTTGTCGCAGAGTATCGCTAAAATTTGGCAACGAGCTCCGCCGAAATCAAGGGGATGCGGTTTCTCCGAGAGGTGGTTTGAGAAATCGTGAACAGATAACTCAGTAGTAAGCGGCAATACGCTGTTTGACGGGGATATTACACGTGTATACACTACAAACCTAACTGTCTACTAAGTACACACTTACAAACGCATGCTTGACGCCGTATAACTCCATGCGTCAAGCATGCGTTTGTAAGTGTATACTTGGCCAAGCATGCGTTTGTAACTGTGTACTTGGAAGCATGCATTTCTAAGTGTGTACTTAGTACACAGTTAGGTTTGCAGTGCATTACGGCCTTTAAATGCCAAAATTTGGCTCCTTTAAGCTAAAAATCGCGTAAAATGGTATTACGTTCAAGTGTATTTCACGTAATACACGGTTGTTACGTATTGAGTATACGCGAGTATTTACCCCGACAGGTTTCTCACTCAGCACTGATCGACGACGACATTCATCACACAGATGTGGAATAACAACTGCACTTGTTTGGGATGCTCATCAAGAGCCCGTTGTCGTGAGCGCGTGAAGGACATTGTTTTTCTTCTTTGGGCCTGGAACGTTACGCTTGCTCGTGCCTCCCATAAAGGGGACATTCGCGTCTTCGGCCGTCATGTTTTCGTCCTTGCGGCGCGGCGGGGACAGACGCCTCGCTTGCCGCGCGGTGTACACTCCGTCATCTAGTCGGACGTCGAGGCTGCAGTGGCTCGCAACTGACCTGAAGAGTGTCAATTCTGTCAGTCCCTCGTTTTAAAAGTGCTTTGGCGGCTCCCTGCCGTTGGCTCGAAGATAACATGGAAGTTGGTGGTGGATTGGGTGTCAATCCGGTCACCGTCTACAGTGGGGCACTCGTCTGCGCAGCTGCTTACCTCGTAAATCTCGGCATTGACGACTTGCGGGAACATGGCAGGTAAGTTCTTCACAAATCGCTCTCGGCTCGTGCTGCCGGGCCGTTTGTCGTGAATGCGACGTCCACCAAGAGGAGAAATCACTTAACTTCGGTCAACAACTACTCAATTTAGAGTAGAATTTCGACAAATTTTGATAAATTGCAGTGAATTTCAAATTTTTTTATGAATTTTGACTGATGAATATGGTTTTAGGTGTTTCCCCTTGCCCATTTCTGGCCGAGTGGTTAAGGGTGCATGACCAATTTCCTTAAATCTGGCGTCCCTTACTTTTTCTCTATCAACTGCACTATCTCGAATTTCACTTTTATCTTCGGGCACCCAATATTTGAATAAATCAAGCTTCTCTTAAAAAGAAAACATTGTTCTACGACAAAAATCACCAAAGTTAGCTCTTTGTTCCAAATTTCTATTTACCGAAACAAAGACGGAAGTTGATGTGTTTTTAAAAAAATCCATGTATTTTTATTTAACAAAATGAGTCGTGGCAACAAGCACTTAATGAGAGCGGACTAGATTGGAAACCCCTTAAAAATTTCTAAATAGAGAGAAAAGGCCTGATTTGGCTATTTTTTCTCGTTCCTCCATCTATAATCGCTGTTCGAACGTTCTTAGAACGATTATTGTGCTCAGTACCTACAATGGCCTGCCATGGATCTTCTATAAATGTGAAACGCACTTTTCTTTGTGCCCTGAAAGATCGCATCAGCTCGATTTTTCTTTTCAAGTGCCTCGGTGAAATCTTGAGAAAATTCAACTGGCAAAAACTTTTAAAGGTAGCTCCGGGATGTTTTTTTATTCACACATTTCAAAACTTTCTCAGGGTGATCAGTTGCGAGGCATGTTTTAAATGGCCATTGAAAAATAATATTGAGAAATTCATCTTTCTGGCAATGCCACATTCAACTTTGTTCAAACCTTTTATGATCCGTCACATTTTGCCAATTCAAAGAATTACTTTCCCTCTGAAAATAGCAATGATACTAGAATGTAAGACCAAAAAGTGGTCATACTCCGTGTATGACCGAACAAGGGTCATACTTTTTTGTGTCACTGTTGAAGGTTGATGTATCTCCCAGCTAAAGAGGGGCAAGTCTCGCTGATGTTTGACCCTTTTTCGGTCATTTGTATATGGTCTTTTTTCGATCAAACTTGCATCTCCAAAAATTGGTCAGTTGTCTCATTCTTTGAATTTCACTGCCATTGAAAAGTTTCACAAAGTTGAAGTACTACCGTAGGCTTCGACACCGAAGGACATTGTGTGACTCACTAACACGAAACTCCTTGTGTTTGTTTTAAGGGTCTCAATTTTGCATTGGCCGCTACTCGCTCGCAGTTTCAGCGGTGCCACCTTGGTCCAACTTTTCTTGCTGTGGATTTCATGCAACATCGTTCTGGTCGTGGCAAATGGAGGATTCCGACTGTGGCGAAGTGGAAGAGCTGCCCTTCTGAAAAGTGAACGAAGTACGTTTTATATTCGTGGCTGCTAGGGAATCTCTGTATTCCACTCCTTAGGAACCGCGCCCTGATTGCATGACGTCGTAACTTGACCCACATCCGACCCCATGTCACTTCCGTCTTCCGTGAGTACTAACAGAATCACACTGTACAAATTACAATAGCTTTTGCACTAAGTCTCAAGATAGTTGCTGTGTAGGCACCAGTCTCGATGGGACAGTTCTGTATCACCCCTGAAAGAGTGAGATATCAGTATTTGATTTCCAGTTTTAAGGCTTTTCATCATGTGTGAAATTTAATATCGGACCGGCGTGAACGTGATTTAACGCTAGCAAAGCGTAACAATTTTAAACTTTTTATGTCTAGACGTTGCTGCCTGCTTCCAGATGGCACCCTCTACTTATGGAACTACGGCTGGCTGCTCGCAGGCGTTGCACTCCACACCGCTATGGTCGTGGTTCCATCCTGGGTTGGGTACCAAGTGGATTTGCCTGCCTCCGCCATGTGCGCCCTGTGTTTTGAACAGGTAACTTCCATGCAAAACAGCCTCAAGTATGAGAGTTTCACACGCTTAAAACCTTGAGCATAGGACAAACTAATTCCCTTGACTGAATATATACTCAAAAGTCCTTGCGAAGTCTTCTCTGGCATAGCGTTACGATCTCCCTTTCAACTATTTTCTTACCATAGCGAAGTAAGTTATTACGTTGCAATCTGCAAAAAAGTATTGTTAGAGAAAGATGGTGTATACTTCGTACTGCGAATTACTTTTCCTTGCAAGCGTTCGAGAGTGCACGGTGGGTTTTAATTTATATCGTTTAGATTTTGGAATTGGCTTGGGTAGAAGGGTTCATTTCTGAATATTTTTAGGCACGAAGTAGCCTTATAGTGTACCGAGGGTTCAGCCGGCGGGAGATTCAATTCGCGTGGCCCTTTGGGCATTTTGGAAATTTTCTATAGGATTTTAATGAGATTTTGCAGACTAGTAGAACTTCGAACGCTGATTCTGATGTTGATATGTGGTTAAAAAGTTAATGACCAATTTCGAGAAATTTGCTGTCAAAATCGCCGTTTCCATTGCAAAACTCGACTCGTCAAAGGGAAAAAAAGGGAGTGGGGGGAGCCCGAGCCGGGGCGGACCAATAGCCGAGCTTCTTTTCGGTTCTGTACAGCTTACTCCAAAAGCTGAAAAAGCACGTTCGAAATAAAAAATTTCTTTGACTGCAGGTAGAGAAGATGCAACAATAGAATTGGTGTCGGTTCGAACGCAGTTTTTCGGGTAGAACAATCCAATAATACTTCTTGATCGGAGTGTTTTTGGACATGCGCAGTAGGTTTGAAACCTGTTAAACAGTTTAACCAACTATAGTATTCGAAATGTGCATTCATTTTGCTGTATGTCTTGTTTTGTCTTTGTTTGCTGTTCATGGAAATTCATATAAAACAAATTCTCAATTTATATGTGATAACTTTCTGAAAAAATATATCCCAAAAATTACCAAAACAAAAGTTCTTTTTTTCTGACAAAAAGTTTCTCAAATATTACTTTTTTTCTGTCAATAAAACAGTTTTGTTGTTGTGATTCAGTTAGCACTATGACCACTTCGCTCCACCTCGCGACTTGCAGTGCTCATGTTCCTCGAACAAGACTCACCCGCGTTTCGAAACCATCCCTCCCGAGTTTATGAAGTTTGTCAAACCAACCGTCGTGGTGTTGATACGTTGTGAGGGAGAACTATTACACAGAATTGAAGAAAACATGATTAGAGAACCATAGCCTTTTCAAACAAGCCAAACAATTCAACGTCAGCAACAATGGAGGGGCAGTTTTAATGCGCGACTGCTGGTGTTTTCAGCTTCGCGAGAAAATAGTTGCCAACCCGTGAAAATTTATTTACTGCCTTCTTTCTGCTAAGAACATTTTAATAATGATGGACTTCAAAAATGTTCCATTGTCAGAATACTGCGGAATACATTAGCATTGGAATTTTTTGAAATTACCAGCATTTTGACTTCTATTTATTGTCAAGTTTAAATTTTGACGGGTGGCACATCGACCACATTGGTACCACTGCCTGGTAGTCCCCTGAGCCACAACTTTACAACACCACTTCTTTACTTTCTCCACACTCTTACACAATAATCAAACTGACTTCGTGACTCCTAGGATTTCTTGAAATCGTTTTTTTTTTAAATAGTAATCTGTGGGGTGACTCCTGAATATGTAGATCTGGAAGACGGAAATACATACTAAACAAGGTTCCTCTCCTCACCCAAATTTGGATGATAAAGACAGTATCAGCTGCCTATATGGCCAGACAGTATTCTCACCAAAGTTTGGGTGAGGATGGTTTTCTCACCCCAATAGAGTATTCTTGTCGTCGCCGATCGAAGAACAAGAAGACGAACAAAGCCGGAACTGGCGTCGGCTACATAACCTCCCAGACTTCTATGAGTGGACTAGTTACTGAGTTTTCTGTGGTGTATCTCCTTCAAAAGCACTTTCATTTGTTCCAAACACTTTTTGACACAGGAAATTAAAATATTTGTCGACACTTCTCGCTGGAACCGGGCTTGATACCTACTCCGTTTCTTCCCGGCTTCCGGTTTTGTCCTTCTTTTTGTTCTTCGATCGGCGGCGACTAGAATGCTCTATTCGGGCGATAAAATTATTCTCACCCAAATCAAGGCGATAAAGTAAACCTGGTCAAAAATTTCAGATGTAATTATGACTCATTCATACGTGTTCTCTCTAACGGCTCTACTACGAAGGTGTTAAAGTTCCTCGGAGATCAGTAGTTGTCCCCGCCGACCACCACCACAAAAAACAACATCAACAAAAACAAACAGGTTTTCTAGGGATTCCGAAGATGTTTTTCAGCACCTGTATATTTGACGGTGAGTGTACTTCCAGGTCCGCCTCCTCATGAAATCCTACGCGTACCTGCGGGAGCACGTCAAAGGGGCGCTAGCGCTGCCGCCTCAGGACACGGACGACAGCCTCGGGCACCTTGTCTACTTCTTGTTCGCTCCAACACTCGTCTACCGAGACAGCTACGAACGGTACTACTCATTTAATTTAGTTATGTATAATTTGCTTAGGAATCAAATCGAGGGGTCCTACTCAAAAGATCTTCTGGGCGTTCCCCCCAAGAGAATCTTATCTTAAACGCACGCAAATTTCACTCTTTTTGATCATTTGGGATAAATACGACAGAGAGCGGAATATATTTCTACAGGCACTTTTGGTTTCATTGATCTCCCATCTTCAGATTTACGTGAACTAAATTGCAAATTATATTGATGTGTACCTGTATCAAATGATCAAACGAAGTGAAATTAGCCTGCGTTTAAGAGAAGATTCACTCGGGGGGAACGTCCAGATTAGATCTTTTGAAAAGGATTCCTCGAGATGTTGCTGGCTGTAGCGCATGTGTGCAGCGCAAAGCTTTCAACATTTCTCGTCTGGTAGGAAGAAGGGATGACGGAACTTACATCAATAAATAAATACGCACTTGTTTATTGATCCAGGAAGCGGAAGAAGGGGTTAAGTCGAGTTGAATCCGTGCACTTTTAAAAGGCCTTAACCTTGCAGGTGGGAGAACAGGTGGGGAATGTCATCTAAAAATAGATGCAAGAGGATGGGACTTGTCTCCGAGGGGTGAATCACTCAGCGTTCTGGTGTACACATGAGTACAGGAGTGCGGGTGAGAACACCTTGTTATACTCCTAAATTTCATAATTTAAATTTTTTTAAGGCTTTATTTAGCGTTTTTAACGGCACTCAACGTTAAATCGGTCGTAAAACTAGAGAATTTCGCCTTTTTTAACTTGTGAGTACACTGAGTACGGGTAAATTTGTACACATGAGTACACGAGTGATTCACCCCTCGCTTGTCTCACCACACTTATTTTTGGACCAAATTTTCGCTAACGTTTACTTCATAGACTGGTAAGAGGTCACTGAATCAACTCGACTTAACCCCTTCTTCCGCTTCGTGGATCTATTGTCTTACCCTTCCCCACCCCACCGGCGGCAACTGCCAACAGCACGCCTCGCGTGCGCTTCGGCGTGGCGGTGGCGCACGGCGCGGTGTTCCTGCTGACGGTCTTCACCATGGTGGTGGCCGCGGGCCGCGGTGCGCTGCGGCCGTTCTGCGGCGGTGAGGACGCGGTGCTGCTGGACGCGTGGGGCCTGTCCGGACCGCCGCGCCTCGCCTTCCAGCTGGGCGTCATCGTGGTGCGCGCCACGCCGGCCGGGGCCGTCATCGCCGTCGGCACCGCCCTCGCCATGCACTCCTGGCACACTGTATTCGCTGAGCTGCTGCGATACCCCTCCATTGGGTTCACCAAGGTTTGCGCCCTTCTCGCTCTGGTGAAACAAAGACATCAAAACTATGCCCTCACTGAGACAACCTTGCAAAGTATTTTAGGCCTTACAAACAAAAGAAGCTTGTAATAAGCAAGTATTTTGAACGTACGTAAGCTTTCAAAGAAAATACTTCGTACATTGCAAACTATTCTTCGTGTAACTAAGGAAATTAGTCCGTAATATGTGTGCTCAGAATACTTCGTAATGTTTTAAGCGTGCTGAAAGGGCGTAAATGGCTTAAGTCCCTGGCACGGCGTGAGTCATGCCTTCACGTTACGCCTAAATGTCTTGTACCAATGCACGCTCTTCCCCACGGTCTTAAGCGATTCACGCTCTTGAAGGCCGTGGAACACCACTGTGGCAAAAAGGTACGGAAAATCCTGTTAATTTTTTTGCCAGGATTCTCCGTAGCCCTCTTATCAATATTCTCCGTAGGCTCTTACAGTATTCTCCGTAGGGCCGCACAGTATTCTCTGTAAATCCGCACAGTCTTCTCCGTAGGACCTCGAAGACTGTATAGTCCTACGGAGATCACTGTGCGGTCCTACGGAGAATACTGTGCGGTCCTACAGAAATTACTGTAAGAGCCTACGGAGAATATTGATAAGGGGCCTACGGAGAATTACCACAAGCTGTTTACAGGATTTTCCGTAGCTTTTTGCCACAGTGACTGTATATGCTGTAAAGGGCGTAGTTTCTATGCCTTTGTTTTCCCACTGCTGTTTATTCACTCAAATTTAGAGGGTGTGAGTCATGTGTTCGTGAGACCTGACCCAATTTTCGTTGGTGCAAAATGATCCATGAAGGAAGAAGGGAATAATTCGACTTATCTCCAAATTGAGTTATCTTATAATTGTGCCTCAGAATGGTTTGCATCGTTACTCCAAATTGTTCGACTTAACACTCCTAACAGTTTAGAAGAAAATCCATATAAAAATCGATATAACTCAACTTGCCCCCTTCACGAGCTAAATTTTATCGGAAAATGGAAGTAACTCAACCGAAGTCCACAAAACTCGATTGCACCAAATAGCAAAAGGAGATAACTTGTCTTTAAGAGTCTAGTGTAAGGAGAATCAACTCAACTCCCCATAACTAGTTGGAAAAAAGAGGAAACTCCAAAAACGTACCACAGAAATATAGACTCTACGAAGACCTTAGCTCTCCTTGAATTGTCTCCAAATTCCGCCTTGTTAGGGGGAACCAAGTAAACATGGTTCCGTAGTCCATTCCAACGTAAAGATTTAAATCACAGAACCCGTCTACAGAGTGACGCTACACTTAAAAAAAAATTCAGTTACTTCTAAGGCTTTCTTGACAAAAATGCAATTGCATCATTCATGTGATTGGATTAAGTTAACCCAGCAAACAGTTTTATGTTTCTCCTGAAAAGTGATGAAAAATGAGATATCCCCTTTTTCCACTTCATGGATCATTTGTGTCTCACACTTGCAACAATGGTGATACACTGATGAAACTTAAACGTAGTATTACCCTCTGTTGTCAAGCGTAATCAGTTTGCGCTTGAAATCAAGCGTAACTGGCTCATCCTTATCTAAATGCATGGGGGAATTTCTAGAGTATGCCTCATTTCAAGCATAACGTCTTCAAGCGTAAACTTAAGGCGGCCGGATACGGTCGGCTCCTCTGATTTGGCATAAAGTCTCTGATGGCAATACCCCAACGCGATACTCCGTGCCAATAACTATGCCAAAAGTGTAGGAATTGTCCGAGAGATGGCGGTAGTGGCGAGGCATATCTGCGCAGGTATGGCCATACAGATACGCGTTTTCTCCCGGGATGCACCGAGCTCCTCGCCGAGCCGCAAGTCCCGTTACCTCTGCGTCGGTGCGCTCCCCCTCCAGCCCCCCTCCTTCCCCGCCGGCTGGGACAGGTGACCTGTCAATCATGCAGTAATCTTCTCCAGCGTCGCACCTCGGGCGACGGACTGCAGCCAGAGACGTGGCCCGGACGGAGAGTGGAGGGGGGAGCGGCAGCCGACCAGCGAGACGCGCGGCTTGGCGCGGCGCTGCAGCGCGCCTACTACCCCAGATAAAATTTCTCCAGGCAACTTTGAGCAAAGGTGAGCAGGGGTCGAGCACAGCCCGAGCCCTGCCCGGCACCCGGTGGGCAACTACCGGGCAACACCCGGGCAACACCCGGGCAACACCCGGGCAACACCCGGGCAACTCCGGGCAACATCCGGGCAACATCCGGGCAACATCCGGGCAACACCCGGGCAACTCTGAGCAACTATCGGGCAACTTTGGGCAACTGTCCGGCTTGTTGAGGCATCACCCGGGCAAAGCCCCCCGCGGGCAAAAGTGCGCACCAAGTGACTCCAGCGCAGCGCGGCGCCCGAACTAGTGTTCTAAAGGGTAGGAATATTCCCGGGAATTTAGGGAATTCCCGGGAACGTTCCCGGGCACAATCAAACCCCAAAAATGGGAAATTCCCGGGAATTTAAAAAATGGCTAAAAACAGCTGGTTTTTTGCAGGAAAAATGTAGAACACGCAAGGTATCAAGTAAAAATTATGAAACACATGAGTGTATTTCCATTTTTCTTTCAGAAGAGAACAAAACAACGTTTTGTAATCAAAAATTAGTTTTCTATCAAAAAATTTCGTATTAAAAAATTTAACTTTTATCAAAAGTGATGGGTTTCATATGAAGCAATGTTCCCGGCCAAGTGGGAATATTCCCGGGAATTCCCGGGAAGTCTCGGGAATATTCCCCTGAATGATTGTTCCCGGGAATTTTCGAACACTAGCCCGAACTGCGGCTGCTTGGCCAGAGCGCCCAGCCCGGCCCGCCACCCTGAGCATGGGCCGGGTGGCGGCCCGGACCAGGCCCGGACCGTCAGAGGAGCGGGCCGTCGCACAACCCGCTCCGATCGGCACCACGCTTGGCTTCGGCTGCGTAGCCGAGCTCGCAACGCGCTGCCTCGCTGCGAGCGGCGGTCGGTTCGATGCCAGGCAAGGCAGCGCGCCGCTCGGCAGCCATCCTTGTCGAACCCACTAGCCGCCTTGAGTCATAGGTGAGAAAAGTGACCCGAAACGGACCCGAACAGACCCGCTGCTGAGGAGACTCCATCCGATCCGATCCGATCCGATCCGACCCGCCTGGATACCGCAGCGGCCTGACCCGCTCATCCGCCGCCGCTCCAGGTCGGGCACCTCCTGACAACTGCCGGACCAGGTCGGGCACCACCCCGACGACAGCCAGACCAAGTCGGGCACCTCCCTGACGATAGCCGCACTTGGTCGGGCACTGTCCGGACCAAACCCAGCCTTCGTCAGACGCGCCCTGACTACACCCGTACCATTCCCGGTCTGGATCCGTACCAAATCCGTACTTTCATTTTTACAAGGGATAAAGGGCAAGGACAGCGTTTCTCAACCGTTTTCGGTTCGCGACCCCAAATTTGTAGCGAAAAATTTCCGCGACACCCAGGAAAAATTTCGTGACCCCACGTGATCCCTCCTTTAGCATGCCTTTGATACAAAGTGCGATAATCCACCTTAGTTTCGAAGCAGTATTGCAGCAAAAATGATCAAAACGGTCACAAATGTCTTTGAAAAATCGCGTTTTGGGCCGACTTTAAGCAGCCACTGCGTCTAATCCGAGGCGGTATTTCGTGCTCCCTCAATGGACAATTGGTCTTTGGGCCTTCCTTTAGCATGCCTTTGTTACGGAGTGCGATTATCTGCCTTAGTTTGGGAGCAGTATTGCCGCAAACTTGATCAAAACGTTCACAAATGTCTTTGAAAAATCGTTTTTTGGGCTGACTGTAAGCATCCACTGCGTCTGATCCTAGGCGGTATTTCGTCCTCCATTAGCAGGCAATTGGTCTTTGGACCTTCCTTTAGCATGCTTTTGTTGCGGAGTGCGATTATCTGCCTTAGTTTGGGAGCAGTATTGCCGCAAAGTTGATCAATACACTATTTTTCAGACATTTGTGACCGTTTTGATCATTTTTGCGGCAATACTGCTCCCAAACTAAGGCAGATAATCGCACTCCGTAACAAAGGCATGCTAAAGGAAGGTCCAAAGACCAATTTCCCGTTGAGGGAGGATGAAATACCGCCTTAGATCAGACGCAGTTGCTGCTTAAAGTCAGCCCAAAACACGATTTTTCACAGACAATTGTGACCGTTTTGATCAATATTGCGGCAATACTGCTCCCAAATTAAGGCAGATAATCGCACTCCGTAACAAAGGCATGCTAAAGAAAGGTCTAAAGACCAATTGCCCGTTGAGGGAGGACGAAGTACCGCCTCGGATCAGACGCAGTGGATGCCTAAAGTCGGCCCAAAACACGATTTTTCAAAGACATTTGTGACCGTTTTGATCAACTTAAAAGTTGTTCCCGCCAGTGCTCGGCGTGTGGGCCAGCTGGGAAACCGCCGCCACCCCAAGCGACCCCAGTTACCTCGCCGCGATCCCTCGAAATTTTTTCACGACCCCAAGGTTGAGAACCGCTGGGCAAGGATAAAGCGAGCCACGAAATTGTGATAAAGATACGTGAGAAGTTCAACGTCAATATCACACGGCCGCAGCATCACGAACCTTTTCGTTTCAAACATGGTGTTTGTTTACATTTCAACCAACGCACAGCGCGGGGAGGGTGAGAGGGGAGGGGTAGGGAGGCAGAGGTGGGCAGACGCTCACCTCACCCCTTCCCCCTCCCCTCCCTCTCCCGCCGCCGCGCGTAAGGGTGGCTCGCCGCGCGCCTTGCTGGACAGGAGTAGGCAACCAGCTGGCTGCACTGTGAGATTGGTTGCCTATGGCGGCGCTCGACGCTCGACGAGCGAGCACATCTTGCATCTCTCTCGCACTCAATGCGGCTAGTGGGTTAGACAAGGATGGCTGCCGAGCGGCGCGCTGCCTTGCCTGGCATCGAACCGACCGCCGCTCGCAGCGAGGCAGCGCGTTGCGAGCTCGGCTACGCAGCCGAAGCCAAGCGTGGTGCCGATCGGAGCGGGTTGTGCGACGGCCCGCTCCTCTGACGGTCCGCTCCTCTGACGGTCCGGGCCGCCACCCGGCCCATGCTCAGGGTGGCGGGCCGGGCTGGGCGCTCTGGCCAAGCAGCCGCAGTTCGGGCGCCGCGCTGCGCTGGAGTCACTTGGTGCGCACTTTTGCCCGCGGGGGGCTTTGCCCGGGTGATGCCTCAACAAGCCGGACAGTTGCCCAAAGTTGCCCGATAGTTGCTCAGAGTTGCCCGGGTGTTGCCCGGATGTTGCCCGGAGTTGCCCGGGTGTTGCCCGGGTGTTGCCCGGGTGTTGCCCGGGTGTTGCCCGGTAGTTGCCCACCGGGTGCCGGGCAGGGCTCGGGCTGTGCTCGACCCCTGCTCACCTTTGCGCAAAGTTGCCTGGAGAAATTTTATCTGGGGTAGCAAATTCAAAATTTAAATGTTCGAATCAAACTGGGGCGGATGGGCACCATGAGTTTGCGGTCTCTTTTCCGATCAATTTGATACCCGTTGAAGCTTGATATCTGCCATAGGTGTATAAATGATCTGTAAGGCCAGCGTCGCACCTCGGGCGACGGACTGCAGCCAGAGACGTGGCCCGGGCGAAGAGTGGAGGGGGAGCGGCAGCCGACCAGCGAGACGCGCGGCTTGGCGCGGCGCTTCAGCGCGCCTACGTAGCAAATTCAAAATTTAAAGGCTCGAATCAAACTGGGGCGGATGGGCACCATGAGTTTGCGGTCTCTTTTCCGATCAATTTGATACCCGTTGAAGCTTGATATCTGCCATAGGTGTATAAATGATCTGTAAGGCCAGCGTCGCACCTCGGGCGACGGACTGCAGCCAGAGACGTGGCCCGGGCGAAGAGTGGAGGGGGAGCGGCAGCCGACCAGCGAGACGCGCGGCTTGGCGCGGCGCTTCAGCGCGCCTACGTAGCAAATTCAAAATTTAAAGGCTCGAATCAAACTGGGGCGGATGGGCACCATGAGTTTGCGGTCTCTTTTCCGATCAATTTGATACCCGTTGAAGCTTGATATCTGCCATAGGGGTATAAATGATCTCTAAGGCCGGGCACCATCAAATGGTTTCACATCTTTTCGCCAGTTTGAAATCGCCACGTCACGTCCACGATTTAAGTTCGATTTGGTCCGATATCAGCCGGAGCCAAGGCTGGGCTCGCACACCGCTTCTCCGCACCGGCCGGCCTCAGTCCCCCAGCGCAGTGCAGCTCCGGCTTAGCTCGGGCTGCCTAGGGGAGTGGAGGGGGAGGGGAAGGCGGCGGGCGGAGACAATACCGGCCGCAGGTAGCAGCGAGCGAGGCACGCTGTCCGTCACAAAGACGTCACTCAGGCCGGCCGGCCTCCACGTAGTTCCTGTCCTTTCCACCGCGCCACCTTCCAGCGCTCCGGCAAACGACCGCCAAGTTCAAAACGGGGAAAATGAGGCAAAAACAGGGTCTTTTTATTGCAGTTCGATCTCAAAAAGTACTTGTCCTAGGGAAAAACGGTTTACAGCATATTGAAGGGATCATCAGGGCCTAGGGCGTCGGGTGTATGGCGGCTCTTGAAAGTGGTTAGATGCATCCGATATAGTCCGGTGAACAATGGCCTCAAAATTGACGACTTTGAACATCGAATTTTAACGTCTAAATATCTTCGCACAAACTTCCCACATACCCGCCGACCTAGATCTCGTCGCCCGATTTACGTATCTGCCATTATTTTTCTTCTAGGACTTCTACTTTTTGAGATCGAACTGCAGGAAATTTGAGGTTTTGAAAGTTCAATAACTTTGTTCAAAATTGAGCCAGGTCAAAAAAAATTTGTGGCTCGCCTCCCTGTGATGTCCCGAATACGTGTGCAAATTTTGAGCCTGATCCGACAACTTCAATTTGCGTATCCTGCCGCCTTAACGCTTGACTCAAGCATATAGTTACGCTTTACTTTTACCAGTGTACTTGCAAGCGTTAGACGTTATAGTTTAGAGCGAAACAGTGCGAGACTGTCCCGCTCTTGGATTTGCAGAGGGTGTCGTTATTAATGTGGTAAATAAATATATTGTCTTTTTACTGTTTCCCTCAGCCTTGGTGGAACGCTCCGTCGTACACGGTCTTCTTTCGCCACTGGAACATGTTTGTCAAGGCGTGGCTCTACACTTACGTGTTCAAGGAGCTGCTTACTAGAGGCCATAGCTCCACCGCTGCCAAAATGATAACTATCGTGCTTTCGGCCTTTTGGCACGAGTACATCTTGGCCGTCAGCCTCGGCTACATCATCCCGTACTGTGCACTCACATACGTCTGCACCGCCGGTGAGAACTATTTTGGTGAACTAATTGCGAAATTACCGTCAACGGGTATACGCTCCCGATTTCCTAATGAGAGATGCCGTGCAGTCATAAGCTAATTCTCAGTACTTACCGACACAAGTCCGTCATAATACAGAGAAATTTGTTCGTATTATCCACCTGTGGAGTCAAGGGAAGGGCGGTGGGGGAGGGACCAGCCCTCTCCCACCGTGGCGGTAGCTCCAAGCGCTCCTTCCTGGGGACGGGGGCAGTGAGTGTGTGACCTGTGCTTTGCATGGCTTTTTAGTAAATGTCTGCCTCCCAGCCAAGCGCCAAACGCGAGTGTGTGTGCGTAGGAATGCTTCGAGGCTCGCTTGGTCCAGGAATAGGTGCTGCTTCGCTTTGCTGCCGCCTACTGTGACTAATACGACCCACAGCATAGTGTTAGGGCCGTGTTTGCTTTTACGCTTGTGTTACTGCTTGCCCTGGGTTTGTGCTTGCCGCTGTGCTAATAAATTTCTACAGGTGGGAAGGAGGCAGGAAGAAGGAAGAGTGAGGACATGGAAGGACTGGTAACGAGGTCACAGAAGCTGGTGGGTAGGTCAGGGATGAGGGTCTTTCGACTAGGACTAGTCGGAGCCAATCACAGGCTAGAAGGGCAGTCAGACGGTGAGTTAAACTCAGATCAACTTAGTACAACCTTACTTTAGTTCCATGGCTCGGCAGGCGGATACTCATCGTTCAGCTCAGCCTTGATGTAATACACCTCCCACACCCGGACATCATATTGTTTGGCTGCTTCCTGCGCCGGGACCTGGTCTTGTTCGGTGTCGGGGACGATGGTGTCGGTGCGGTGGTTGTCTGGGTCGAAGTAGTCACAGTCGCTGGCACGGTATACGTCATAGTTGGGGAAAGGGGGAGGGCTAGGAGAGTGAAGTGATGAGGCAGTAGGCGAGGTTTGAATGGTGGTGATGGAGGAGATAGTGATGGGGGAGAGGGTCTGGGAGGTGCGGGAGGTGAGGGTGACGTGGGAGTTTAGAGTGGGGGAGGAACTGATAGTCAGGGGGGTGGCAGGGGTGGAAAAAGGCGAGGAGGGAAGGTGGAGGGGACGTTCGCCTTTATTGCTGTGGTCCAACACTGAAAAACCAAACGTGGTCCAGACCGCACCACTGGTGTGGTCAGGTGGATGCCATTTTGACCACATCAGTTGGTGTGGTCTAGACCACGTTTGACGACGTATGGTGCGGTCTAGACCACGTTTGGCCACGTTTGGTGTGGTCTAGACCACACCAAACGCACCAAACGTGGTCTAGATCACACCAGCTGGTGTGGTCAAAATGGCATCCATTTGACCACACCAGTTGGTGCGGTCTAGACCACGTTTGGTTTTTCAGTGAAGCTTGAATCAGACGGGGCATTTATAGTTCTCCTGCTTGAATCCGGACGGGGGGAACCAGGAGGCGGAGTCGTTGGAGCAGAGGTGTGCGCGTCCGTCCGTCGGGCGTCCGTTCCGTCCGCGGCGTCCCGGGGCGAACTGGGCTGTCTACGTGACGATTCGAACGGGTTCTTTTGCCGTGTGAACGCAGTCCGGTGACTCAGGTGCGACAGCTATGGCACGTCATACTGCTACTTGCCTGGTGAGCGTGACTGAGCGAGTGGCAGAGCTTTGAGTACGAGAGATGCCAACTGCCGCCGGCTGGTCGCTTATGGAGCTGATCCGCTAGCCTGATTTGGCGGGTTTGTTGCTGCCGATCCAGTGGTCGGTGACCCGCCTGCCTCCGGGCTGCGGATTGGGCGGACGTTCGGCGGAGGGATGCGCGCACCTCTGCTGTGGACGAGGAAGTAGCGGCGTCGGGGCACGGGTGCATGGGCGGGGAACTATGGGGGTCGACGAAGTCGCGCAGCTCTTCTAGACGAGTAGGCCCAGGCGGCGATCGCCACGAGGGGGGATAGGTGTGCTTCTGGAGGAGGGAGTAGGGCATCAGCAGGGTCGCTCGGACAGGGTGGTGCAGGGGGAGGCGGGAATCAGGGGACTTAGACGGTGATAGGAGTAAGATGCACTTGGGCTGGGAGATGGAATTACGGGGAGCTTGGTAGGCTGGTGCTGGGCGGCATGTTGGTTGCTTAGTGCTTGGGGCACGGCCTGTTAGCCAACTTGGCTAGTTAACTTGCTTGTATGCACCATTGCTGCATGCTGTATCGAATAAACCCCGTAGACACTGGTTGGAGCGTGTGCACAGTGTAACGAAACACCGAAAAACGCGAAAAAATTATTTAATGATTTCAATCGATAAAATTCAATACAAAACATAAAAGAAGGTCATTTGTGACTGTTTGCGTACCCCAGGTGCCCACCAACAGCAAAAAACTACCAAAAAGTGAAAAAACGTCGAAATTTTGACGAAACGTGGTGATTAATAACAGGAAAAGTAGCGATATACATCGGCAACTTTGGCCCGTCCCGTACATTAAGACACGTACGAATTTCGCCTATGTTTGACCCTGACGGGAATTAAACCTGAGTCTGGCGTTATAATAAATGTCGTTTTCGTCATCAGCACCCTCAAAAACATCAGAAACAATGGCAAAAATCGAATAAAAATAATGTTTAAAAAATACCCTGCAGGGATTTGAACCCGGGTCCGAACTTCTCCGATTCGCTCGAAACTGGCACCATTGGTTTTTTCTCGTCGCACCGATTCCAAAAATACCCCTACATGCCCTGCTAGCTGCATCCGTTGCCGAGATCCTCCTCGACCCCATGTAGACCATGATGCACCTGCAGCAGCGCCCGCGGGGCTCGGATCGGATTTGCTGCCACCGGGCGGTTCTTAGGGTCACCCAAGGAGGCTGCATACCAAATTTGGTCAAGATCGGACCACGGGAAGTCCTCGGACGAACGAACGAACGAACGAACGGACGCACAGCATGCATCATACTATATGCCCGTCCCTCCGTCATTTTTTTACAAAAAATAAACGGGACGGGCCAAAAAAACAAAAAAAAAGGAGCAGCCAAATTTTTTACAGAACATAGATAGATGCCCAAGTAAGGTCCTTGCCAAGTATGGGTCCGATCGGAGGTGGGGTCACAGAGATATCGGCATAAATGTGCGAAAAACACTGCAAAAATCGACCAAAACTACTAAAAAATGGCCACTGGAACCTGGCTAGGTGTAACGAGCACCCAGTTTCAGCAAAGCTTCATAGTTTTATGTTAAAAGATTATCATCTGACGATGTGGGGCTCATATGGAGTGGGGTCACTGAGAAATGGCTGAAAAATTGCAGAATTAAAAGGCAAAACAGGCCTCAGAAGGCCACCAAAACCAAGTTGGGTGTAACGAGCACCTAATTTCCACATGACTTGATGGTTTTGGGTAGAAGGATGATTATCTGATGATATGGAGTCCGTATAGATTGGGGTCATTGAGTAATCGATGAAAACTTTCAAAAAAGTGGTCAAAAACTTTTGCAGGAGACCACTACACTGAAGTTGGGTGTAACGAGCACCTAGTTTCTACATGACTTGATGGTTCTGGGTACAAAGATGAAAATCTAATTGGCTGAGCGATAGCGAAGCCCTTGCCGTGTTTGGGCGCTCCGAAAAGTGACTGGTCGTGCGTCTGTCTGTCTGTCTGTCTGTATGTAATCACTCACGTTTCTCAGCAACTACTGAACGAATAGTATCCAAATTTCACACCTGATGTCTCCTAAACATCCTACAGGGGGAGTTTATCTTAGATTAACAATTATCATCGTTTGAAATATTCAAAACATCATTTTGAACTAGGTAATTGGCGTGTTTAGGTTGGTAGCAGCGTGTGGCAGACCAATTTCTCATACCGGCTGCCGCGCTTGCAAGCCGTCTGCAAGACGGGACGGCACTTATGCAAATAAACAAACTAAAGAGCAAAGGGGTTCTCAAATAGGTACTGAGATAGTTTTTTAACATTCTAGAATGATTGAAACCCTTCCGGGGTGTCAACAGAGGAAAATATAGAAACTAAATGTGAGAATGGTTTACGTGTTTCGTTCCCCTCTTCCCCCTCCCCCGTCACAGGAGAACAGGTCAGTGCAGTGTAGTTGTGGATTGTAAATAGAATGTTTTCTTTGCCTTTGTGTGCATCTACTGATTTTATTCTCTCTGATACTATCCTAATTTTTAAATTTCATAGTAAATAAAATCAGGTAAATGCATGAATAACTTCTGTTGAAATTAGAAGACATGTTAATTGTCTTGGTTTGTCTCAGGGAAATGACACTCTATTGCAATGCTGCAAGCTAACATAAATATTCTAGTACTTACATCTATTGATTAAAAGAATCCATAAATAGATGTATTTTGTGCAATAAATAATCCATATATTTAGTGCTAACAGATTTTGAACTGATATTGGGTTCAATGAGACGATTCAGGTTTTTGAGCGGTGGGTGACTTGGTAATTGCTTTTAATGGGACGATTCCTTTAACTTCACCAAAGCTTGTGTCCAACAGCTGGAACCAAGTATTGGTAATGATTTAAAAGCTGGCTTTCTTAATGTAAGCCCAATGTTAATGCTACACTGTATTCTTTTACTCTAAAGATAAAATATCACGAGGCATGAATAAGGTAAATTAAGTTGGCGTATTGAGCAACAAGTGGCCTCTGCATTTGACTTCATGAGACGATTCACTGAATTTGACACAACTTGTTCTCCGTCAAATGCGTCAGATCAGCCTGCTGTAAACTGAGTCACTTAATGAAAACTATGATTACATATTCCATTCTGTATTGTTTATTTCACTGGTTTTAAATGAAAGAATGACAAAAGGCTTCTCAAATATAACTAATAAATTTGTGAATTCATTAGTTTGAAGAAAAAGATGTATCGAATAGTGAGTCAAGCAGACGAGTAGCTAATTAAGCGATTCAATGCTGGCAATGGAATGTTACTCGACTGAAGGAATCGCATTGGTGTGGCATTAGGGTATTGGTGACGACAAAGGGTGATCCATGAAGACCAACCAAGACCCATTCTTTACCGATTATTGATCAATTTGATATCGATATTTTTCAATCGAATCTCATATTGATTCTTGGAGTTTTTCGAGTGCTGATTATGAAAACCCCTTCCATTTCTACTCCAGACTTATATTTTCATCTCAAATTAGGTCATTTCGGACCGAAATTTTCAGGTCGAGTTTTTTATTGTTTCCTGCAGTGTTTGATGAGCTGAACTCAAAAATAACTTCCAAATTTTTCCCAGACTCACGCTTTACCTAATTTTTACCAAATTTGGACCAAAATTTTTTAATTGAGTTTGATGTTGATCCCAACAGTTTTTTGTGTGCTGATAACGAAAAACACCTCCATTTCGACTCCAGACTTATATTTTCATCCCAATTAGGTCATTTTGGACCAAAATTTTCAAATAAAGTTTTTTTATTGTTTCCTGTAGTTTTTGGTGCGCTGAACTCAAAAATGACTTCCAAATTTTTCCCAGACTCACGCATTACCGAATTTGGACCAATTTTGGACCAAAATTTTGGAATCGAGTTTGACGTTGATCCCAACAGTTTTTTGTGTGCTGATAACAAAAATCACTCCCATTTATACCCCAGACCTACATTTCACTCAATATGAGCCCACAAGCTGCAGTCCGAAGTGCACAAATTCGCATCGCTCAGCCACACTACGCGCCCACACAAAACGGCGCGTACCCCTAGTGATATGGAGTCCATATGGACTGGGGTCATTGAGTAATCGACGAAAACTTTCTAAAAAGTGGTCAAAAACTTTTGCAGGAGACTACTCATGAAGTTGGGTGTAACGAGCACCTTGTTTCTACATGACTTGATGGTTCTGGGTACGATAGTGGTGTAAGATAGTGGTATGGTTGTTAAATCCTTTTTACTTATAGCTATCACTTTGAAAAACAATTAAAGTTGCTTGAAAACTCAAATCCAGTGAACACTCGCTTAATATTATACAACTTATTCAGATAATCTTTTAGTTCTTTAAAACTTTCAATTAATGAAGAAACTAAGTGCTTGTTACACCCAACTTAAATGTTGTGGTCTTCTGCGACAGTTCTCAATGACCCCAGTCCATATGGACTCCATATCATCAGATAATCATCTTCGTACCCAGAACCATCAAGTCATGTAGAAACTAGGTGCTCGTTACACCCAACCTCAGTGTAGTTGTCTCCTGCAAGCGTTTTTGACAACTTTTTTGCAAGTTTTCATCGATTACTCAATGACCCCAGTCCATATGGACTCCATATCATCAGATCATCATCTTCGTACCCAGAACCATCAAGTCATGTAGTAACTAGGTGTTCGTTACACCCAACTTCAGTGTAGTAGTCTCCTGCAAAAGTTTTTGACAGCCTTTTTTGCAATTTTGCATCGATTACTCAATGACCCCAGTCCATATGGACTCCATATCATCAGGTAATCATCCTTCTACCCAAAACCATCAAGTCATGTGGAAATTAGGTGCTCGTTACACCCAACTTGGTTTTGGTGGCCTTCTGAGGCCTGTTTTGCCTTTTAATTCTGCAATTTTTCAGCCATTTCTCAGTGACCCCACTCCATATGAGCCCCACATCGTCAGATGATAATCTTTTAACATAAAACTATGAAGCTTTGCTGAAACTGGGTGCTCGTTACACCTAGCCAGGTTCCAGTGGCCATTTTTTAGTAGTTTTGGTCGATTTTTGCAGTGTTTTTCGCACATTTATGCCGATATCTCTGTGACCCCACCTCCGATCGGACCCATACTTGGCAGGGACCTTACTTGGGCATCGATTACTCAACGACCCCAGTCCATATGGACTCCATATCATCAGGTAATCATCCTTCTACCTAAAACCATCAAGTCATGTGGAAATTAGGTGCTCGTTACACCCAACTTGGTTTTGGTGGCCTTCTGAGGCCTGTTTTGCCTTTTAATTCTGCAATTTTTCAGCCATTTCTCAGTGACCCCACTCCATATGAGCCCCACATCGTCAGATGATAATCTTTTAACATAAAACTATGAAGCTTTGCTGAAACTGGGTGCTCGTTACACCTAGCCAGGTTCCAGTGGCCATTTTTTAGTAGTTTTGGTCGATTTTTGCAGTGTTTTTCGCACATTTATGCCGATATCTCTGTGACCCCACCTCCGATCGGACCCATACTTGGCAGGGACCTTACTTGGGCATCTATCTATGTTCTGTAAAAAATTTGGCTGCTCCTTTTTTGTTTTGTTTTTTTAATCACCACGTTTCGTCAAAATTTCGACGTTTTTTTCACTTTTTGGTAGTTTTTTGCTGTTGGTGGGCACCTGGGGTACGCAAACAGTCACAAATGACCTTCTTTTATGTTTTTGTATTGAATTTTATCGATTGAAATCATTAAATAATTTTTTCGCGTTTTTCGGTGTTTCGTTACACTGTGGTGTGGAGCTACGTGAAAAACCCCTTCTCTCTTAGAAAACCCTCACGCCCTGAGTGCTGGAGGAGCGCAAGCTGCGAAGGCTGCTCACTCGTCGCGCGCTGTAGCGCGACGGGGCCCCTTAAAGTGACACCGGTCCGCGGGTTACGCAAACGGGGGTGGGTGCGGCAAGGATCTAGGTGGTGGGGCTGGGTCCCGAGCCGGCGGATTAAAATACCGGAGTTGGTCGACCTACGGCTTTGCCCGGCCTCACATTATCTATCTATCTCTATCTATCTATTATCCACCTGTGGAGTCAAATAAACAGCAGGGTTGGCACAAGTCTGGAAAACCTTCAAAACCTGGAGAAGTCGGTCAATTTGAAAACAGGGAAAAGTCAGGGAAAACTAAATGAAGTCAGGGAAAAGGGAAAATAAGTGGCACAAATTACCGTAGACACCTATTTCGTTCGAAAATCTCATCATTTAGTACACCCGACTGCTGGAAAAAGTAACCGGAACAGTCAGGAAAAAACGTAAAAATTGTCAGGAAGTCGGAAAAAAGTCGACAGAGAAAATGAAAATTTCAAATTTGTGGCAACCCCGATAAATCCGATCTTGGGGCAACTTCGGACAGGTGTGGCGTACTTACATGTCCATGCAGGCCGGCAGGCCTGCCTGTCCAAAATTAACTGAAGGGAGAAGTAAGCATCCTCAGCTCAAAAGGCTGGGTGTAGGTAAATTTTCTGTGACACCACCCTGGGCGGTTGGTACGAAATTTATGCACTATTTCATGCACGCATGTTTTCCGTACAAATTTCAACGCAAAAAAATTGGACTAAATTCTAAAAGTCCATGAACTACGTGAAAACAAACCTGGAGAAGGTTGCCCATGCAAATGTTGGCTATGAAGTACGCTTCACTATTACGCTAATTCATGACGATTAGAATAACTCGACTTTTACAGTTGGCATAACTCCTCGTGGCAAAGTAATGCGACGGATCACCACTGCAATGATTATGGTGTCATTTTTGTAGCTATTGTCATTCCGGACCCGTTGGGACTTCAAAAGAACTTGAGAGGAAATATCTTCGTTCTGCTGACTCTAAGCGGAGGCATTGCTTCGCTGATCGCATTCTACTTCGCGGAATCCACAGCGCGACTTCATTGCCGCGCTACATCGGCAAGTATTATTGTGCAGCGTTCAGAATCCGCACACAGTAAAAAAAGATTCGCCGATTCGGTGACGTCTGGGCGCCAAAACGAGAATATTACAAGAACAGCGACACCCTCAAACCGTTCTAGCGGCCCTCTGTTCGTTTCGGCGACGCTCGGGCTAGTTTCGGTGGCGCTCGGTCCGTTCCGAAGCAGCCACCTCATCGAAACGGCACTGCAGTCACCCTCCCGCCAGCCACTTTTAATCGTCGTATTAATGTGAAATAGGACACAAAACTAGTCAGGGGCTGTCAGTAATCATTCGCGTGACTCATCAAAGCGTCACGTTGCCGGCGGGCACGCACAAATATGCACTGACAGCTAAAAAACAGTTGTTGTGGTCATCCTAACCTCTCTGGCGGAACACCACCTGGTGACGCAGGTCACCGTTTTGATGACGGGCCGTCGCCGGGTTTGTATGGGTACCCGATTCGGTGAGATTGGATATAGAACGACCACCAAAACAGCGAATCTTTTTTTACTGTGACAGGTTAGGTCTTCAGAACTATTCAGTTCGTATTAACGGGAGCATGCTCGCCCCCTCAGGTGCAGGGCTGCACCTGCGAAATAGGGTACTTCGGAGAAAATCTATACCGGAAGTCGGCGACAGAACGGGAGGAGCAGAAGAGAGTCACGCAGCTGTGCTGAGCGGTGGTGGGGATCCAAATCGGCGGGGTGGGGGTAAAGGCGACGCGCGCATGCTGCCCCCGTACTTTGCCCATCCCGAGGGGGCAACCACTCGCGAAGTCCTGTGTACACTTGATTTGCCGACGTCTTGCACGAAATCGGCAGAAGTCTCGCGAAATCCCTTCGAAATCTGGTGAAATCTCACGAAATCCCATCAAAATCTGGTGAAATTTCGCGAAACCCCACCAAAATATCACGACATTAGGCACAATTTTGACACGAAACCATGCGAAATTTCGACGAAATCCCATCTTCAAAGAATCCTGTGTACACAAAAGTCTCGAGTTGTTGTCCTCTCGGCCCATCCCGGCCCCCACCACCGCCCAGCACGGCCTCCCGACGTTCTGGGGCCGTGGACTAGTTCTAGTTCACGGCGTTTATTGTGATCTCGGTTACAGTGTTCACTGTGATCTGGCCACAGTAAACGCCGTAAATTGGAGCCTGATTTGCAGTACTTCGGTGCTCAGCGGCGTCAAACTCAGTGTTTACTGTACACCAGATCACAGTGAACACCGTGAACAAGATCACAGTGAATCGCGTGAGCAGATCACAGTAAACGCTGTGAATTGACCTACAGTGAAAACTGGTAATATATTAACGGCATTGACAGGACATTTTTGATAGAGTGTGGCGTTTCACCTATCTTTGCATGCGGCGCTACCTTGCCTTCAGCAGGCCCCTTTCATTCTCCTCGGCATTCTTGAAAGATTTGTGAGGTTGACAACTCGAAACGTTGTCTAACATGCTTCCATTCCTTTCTGATTACAGATGCTGGCGTGGGATATATTCGTGCCACAATCATTAACCTGTGAACAACCCTTCAAAAATTGTACTTTTTTGTAAAGTTTTCATGTTAGTCACGGGAGCTTTTCTTCAGGCATAACTTTCAACCCATATAACTGGTCGAATTTCGTTCAAATGTCTTTTCGGCAGTTCGTATGTAAACAAAGAACCGATAAAACACCAAAGGTGCCCGGTCCCATGATGTCGCCGACGAAGAAGTGGTGTTTCTTTTGTCTGAAGCTTCTGTCAGAACAGATCCAAGACAATCCTTACTTTTGATGTCAATTCAGAACTCATCAGAACTGCCAATGACGTGAAAAGCGGTGATTTCGTGACGCCAACATACTCCATAAAATTATCAGCCGAAGGGCTTGTTAAAAAATTTCATCCTTATAAAAGTACATGGACATTGTGTTCCAGAGATATCGAGATTCTTCAAATCTCCGAAATCCATGTGCTAAAATATTTTGTTCAAAGTCTCACTCTCACTTAAACATGATTCCACAGCACAAGACCTTTAAATTAGCCACCTCAAAAGATATCTGAAAGTGCCCTAGGGTGGCCTCCTTACTTCTGGTACTAATTCGCCATGAAAACACTGTCAGGAGCGTGACATCAAGTCGAAGCGAGTGAAGAATATGGTGTCCCGCTCCTTTGGAAGTCAACAAGCGAAGTTATGGCTGATGGGGTGTAGTATGTCAGATTTTGAAAGCGTGCTTTCAAGTTACCCGTCGAACGGCAGCAGTCGCCGCACTGGTAGTTGTCGCGTTGCCACTCAGAGGCCCTTATTTGGGCGCCCACTTGGAAAGGGCCGTATTGAGCGAGTCTTTGAAATCCAGTTCTGTTCGCCTAGCCTCGGCTGGCGTCGCGCAGCCATCGCCACACCGCCCCAGTAAGGACATGGCCTTCCGGCGGGCCACGCTGTGCCTCTGGGCGCTGTCGCTCAAGGTGGGGGCATTGGTGGGCTTCATCCCAGTGTGGTGGCGCGGTGGCCAAGCGCGCCCCATGAACGCGGCCGCGCTGGTGGTCGTATTCTTGTTCTCTCGCCTCGTGGTGACCAGCTGCCTCTTGCTGTCGAAGTCTCCGGCCGCGGCGGCAGTCTTCTCGGCCTTGCAGTGGGCCGAGGCCTTGCTGTACGCGTGGCGTCGCCGCGACCTGGCCTTGCTGGCGCGCTGCCTGTGGGCGTACCTCGACGTGCACCCGCTGCGCGCCACCCGGTGGCGCACCATGTTTCTGGTCTCGATCACCGTCGTCGCGATTATCGCGACTAATTTCCAGTTCTTCACCAGCGCAATGTCTGTGCTCGTTGGTGCGAGCCCCGCGAGCCCGTTGGTAGTCGTCATCGTCCTGGCCAAGATGGTCGTGGCCACCAGCCAATACATGCGCCTGGTGTGTCCGCTGGCGCTGCTGGGCGCCGCGGCCGGCGACCTGCGCGTCGAGTGCGGGCGGGCCGCGCGGGCGGGCTTGGAGGGCCGCCTCCTGCTCGACGGCCACCCCTGGCGAGCGCTGCGACAGCGGCAGTTCCTCCTACACGACATGCTCCGCAAGTGCACCGACTGCAACGGCGGTTGCGTGCTGCTCGTCATGGTGTACATGGTCATCGTCTTCGCGTCTGACGCAAGAAACCCCCACACTTTCATATTCGGGGACAATTTCCCCTTGACCGTACGGAGCCAGGTTATTTTCCTGGCAATGGGGCTTGTCGTCATCGGGATGTGCCAGTGGCCAAAGAATGAGGTAGGTCCGCTTTGCACTGCACATTCCGAGTCGAAGAACCCCGAAGCGTCGCTGAGAATGCACGACCACTTACTCGAGGGTTGTATCACTAATCACTAGTGTACTCATTTGCATACACTAATGTCATGGGACTTTTATTGTCCGACGATTTATGCAATTTTAAGCACATCCGACTGATACAATTTTGTTTCCGTCTCGCGACACGTTTCGTCCGACGCCTCCTGCAACTTGAACTTTCACTAGACAATTTGTCCCACCTGGCGGACGCAAAATTGCATCACCACCGGATGTGCTTAAAATTGCATCATCCGTGGGACATTAAAGGCTAGTGTGTACAGTTTGGCGTGTGTACACGGCAAAAACGGTTCCTGGTTTTCCCAGGAACCCCCTGGAAATCGCCTATGTCTTCGCCATAGGGCTCCTGGGAAAACCAGGTGCCGTTTTTACCGTGTACTCACATGTTCAAAATGAGCAAATTTCTCCGGCATGATCTGATGTCTCTCGTCCAAAACGCTACATCAGGCCTTTACACGTTGAACAACGTGAAGTTGATCAGTGTTGGAAGTAGGGATGCACTGTAAAAAAATTTCTCGTAAAATAACGAAAAAAGTTTGGGTAATTTTCCTTTACGAACTGTTCGTAATTTTACAAAAATGTCGTTTATGTCGATTTTCGGCCCATTATCAAGATTTTCAGCTTCAACAAGCGTGCTGTAAAAAATCTTCCAAAATTTTTGTTTTACTCGTAACAACAAATGTTTCAGTTCAAAAAGTTAACGAAATGTTTTCATATATTAGCGACAACTTCGCAACAAAAAATTACCCAAACTTTTTTCGTTGTTTTTGGAAAATATTTCGTAAAGCCTCACTAAACAAAACATTTCGTAATGATATTGTCTGTAACTTCGCCAATTTAGGAAGATTTCTCTCTCGAAGTGATTTTGTAGGATTACGATACATTTTGTGATGATTTTGTAGGATTGCGATACATTTTGTAAATTAACAAAACAATAACCTTTTTGTTTGTGAAACATATCGTGTAGTAATATTTCGTAAATTCACGATATTTTTTACAGTGTGTAGGAATAGTTCGGTATCGAATCGAATCACCCCTGATTCGATTCAATTCGGGGACGGATCTCTTTGCTTCGACCTTGAATATTCGAAATCTTCGAATCGACAGTGGTTCGTCTTCGAATCGGTTGCACGGAAACGGTTGAATTTCGCGTGCATAGCGTTGTTTTTATGCCAAAGCAAGATCAGATGCTTTTCTTTTCTTCTTTTTGTATTCCTGCTATATGCCCCTCCTTTAATACAGAAAATGTGTTTTGAAACGCACCATTTTTTTAAAAGTTTCAGTTCGAATTCGATTCGACAACTTTTTCCAGATTCGATTCGAGTTCGATTCGAAACTTATTTTCGAGATTCGATTCGAAATGCATATTCTTGATTCGCACATCCCTAGTTGGGAGGTGTACATATCCGTACTTATGGAATATAGGATGCTGAGTGATCCTCCCCTCGCGACTACTCCAGTTGAGGGAGCCCAACACAATTCCATGCGAGTGCTGGACAGGTGTTAGTTTTGAGTTGTAGTTCCAGGCTTTGTACGTGGAGCTGCGGAGTTTCGTGGTGCAGCACCGTGAAGTATTCCACCGAAGTGCCGAGAAAGAGGTAACAACACAGAATCAAAAAGTCACCACCATCGCCCTTCAAAGAAGTGTGTTTTGGGTGGCGAAAAATTCATCGCTGGCGTGAAGGCGCCCAAATTTGGGTAGCCACGCCGTGAGGTCCCCGACGACGTCTTTCTGGGGCCACCGCGTGTGCACTGAAGACTCCTTACGGACACCATGTATCCGCAATACGGACATTTTTGTGCAATTGCAATTCACTGGTTTTTTGACAAAGAGGCGTAAGTCCACTGAACCAAATTTTTCAGGACGGCCAAAAAACATACAGTTTTTAGCTCCTAAGATCTATAAATTCCCACACAACACTCAAATTTTTGTGACAAATTCTTTGAGAAAGTTTGCATCTTTTGGTAAAAATCTCATGTGTGTAACTCTTTTGTAACTCCTACAATGTCAGAAAAACCCTTCCAAATGAGGTGTGATTTTTGACAAAGAGGCGTAAGTCCAGGTGGATTTTTGACAAAGAGGCGTAAGTCCAGGTGGTTTTTTGACAAAGAGACGTAAGTCCAGGTGGATTTTTGACAAAGAGGCGTAAGTCCAGGTGGTTTTTTGACAAAGAGGCGTAAGTCCAGGTGGATTTTTGACAAAGAGGCGTAAGTCCATTAGCCATTCTGACAAACAGGCGTAAGTCCATAGGCCATTCTGACAAACAGGCGTAAGTCCACAGACTATCCCGATAAACTAGTTCTGATTTGTAATTAACCACTTACGAATGTCCACAGCTAATGTGGTGAAAATGGCGAATGTCCACTCATGAGGTCACAGAGTGGTTTGCAACATGTCAACACTGTTTTAATCAAATAATAATGACTAATGGTTCCTCTCATCTCAATCCCATCAGGCTAACAATACATATCTCAAAACGGACTCTTAAATATTTGCAAGGGGTATCAGATCTAAAAGACCAGCATTCTTCGTCACCTGAGTCCGATGATGATGGTGAAACCAGAGTCCGATGACGATGGTGAATGTTGCATTCGTCTTCTTAGGCAGCACTTGGCCTAAAAGTCATGGGCCCAACACAGAGTGTGCTACATGGAGGTTATCAGCATGGATGAGTCCAGGTTCTCCCCTGCTGCAGAAGATTAATGCGCCAATCACCATCTCCATCGGACTCCGGTGAGGAAGAATGCTGCTCTTTTAAATCTGATTACCCTCGCAAAGATGTAAGAGTCCATTCTGAAATACGTATTGTAAGCCTGATGCGATTGAGATGAGAGGAAACGTTACACTTCAAACCTAACTGTCTACTAAGTACACACTTACAAATGCATGCTTGCAAGTCCACACTTACAAACGCATGCTTCACGCATGGAGTTATACGGCGCCAGGGATGCGTTTGTTAGTGTGTACTTGCAAGCATGCATTTGTAAGTATGTACTTGGCCAAGCATGCGTTTATGTGTACTTGGAAGCTTGCATTTTTAGGTGTGTACTTAGTTGACAGTTAGGTTTGCACTGTAGTCATTATTATTTGATTGGAACAGTGTTCACAAGTTGCAAACCACTCAGTGACCTCATGAGTGGTTAGTTGATTGGGATGGTCTGTGGACTTATGCAACGGACTTACGACTTAAGGTCCATGGACTTACGCCTGATTGTCAGAAAGCTCTATGGACTTACGCCTGTTTGTCAGAATGTTCTATGGACTTACGCCTGTTTGTCAGAATGA